AAATATCGAGGTTTGGAACCTTTGGTAAATTAATGTCCTAACACACCGTCACACATAGCAAAAGTTAAGTCTTTGGGTACTGTGAATCTGTTGGCTGAATTATATGGTTTGGTTAAAAATTGATTATAAAAAAAATAGTCTTACTTCACTGGAAGGAAATGAGACAGAAATAGGAATTGATGGTCATTTCAAGTGCATTCACAATCATTAACTATGTCAGTATACTTAGTAAGCACCACTTTTGGCTAACATTTGTGCTACAGTTATCTCTTCAAGTTTAACCAAGCACAGACAGGATATTGATTCTAAGTTCTCTCTGTTGAAAAGTCATCCGCAATGATGTCAATGACTTCAAATTAACTCTATATACAGCGCTGCACCGCTTCGGTTGAAGTCATGAAGAATATTCTTCCTCTTGTTAGTAGTAGTTCAGAAAAAAGATGAAGTAAACAAGTGCACTATTAAGAGATTACAAAAGTGTGGGTCAGCTGCTATGTTAAGTTTACCGGTTTAAGAATTAAATAAAAAACGCTTTAAAAACCTTCACTGTGTGTTTAACTAGGGAGTCAAATATTAACTTGTTACGTAGAAAAGGTAACGACTTCCGAAATTAATGGGCAGATGTGTAAAACCACATTGAAGTTCTCGAAAGTTCTCCCTAAACAGAAGGGCATTTGATGGACTTAACTGTTGAGTGTTTGTTCATTGAGATGTAGTAGTTATTGAAGTTAATTGTTTACAAATTCAATTGTGATTATTCTACGGGGACCCAGTTTAGCCATTTCATAAATTCCCAGAACGAAATCTTCCCATTCTTGTGTTCATCAAGGTATTCGAAAAACCTCTCCACGTCGACTCCTTTATATCCCAGCGAGTCAAGCAGCTCTTTGAACTCATCTTTGCTTAAGTTGTTATTATTGTCTTTGTCATAAGTTTTAAACAATTCCACAGCTTTACAGAGATTCTTGAACCTGGCTTTATTGTTGACGGCCTCAAAACGCTCTCCGCTACGAAGCCATTGAAGAAATTCTTCGAAGGAAATGCTTTGATCTCCATCTTTGTCCAGCAGCATGGAGTAAGCCTTTGCTTCTTCTTTTGCAAATCCCAAATCCTTCTGTAAAAGATCGTCTAACTCGCTGCAGTTCAGTCGTCCGGTTCCGTCTTTGTCGTACTTGTCGAAGAGGCTTCGAATGACGATTGATGGAGTGTTGTCATTGAAATAACTGTTTCCCGCTTGCATTGCAAATCGATGAGCAGTCTGTGAGTGAAAGGTGCCTTGGTCGTTCGTTATATGGGGAAGGAAGACTGTTCTCTTGAATCGAGACTTTGAAGTCGAATGCAGGTGGTTTTTATGCTGATTTGTAATTCTCTAATTTTAAAAATAAACTACGTGACGTCACGTCGCGCTTTCCGCATGACACGGCATTTTCATTGCCATAGACACGTTGTGAATGCGTGACTCAAAAGCTTAGAATCAAGAATTTTTCCCTTTAAACATATTTTATACAAATAAATAAGGATTGTAGTCGTTTTTGCCGAAAAACTAATGGGGATACGTGATCCAGCGTGATGTCATTACTTTTGGACTTTGACTTAATGACGATTCACTTTAAAGAGGTAATTGTTTGTAAAGCTAAACTTTTTAATTATTGCCCCAGGGCAGTTTTGGAAACGTCGCTAAAATTGAAGGTGTGCTTTCTTCTGTGCAAATCGCGTTATTTTCGGATTAATTTGTATCAAAAAGTGTTAAAATAAAAAACAAAACAAAACAAACATCAAGACGGTGTTTCCCGTTTACAACCTCCCACTTCTCGAAGGAGGATTCCGGAAAAAGTCCCTCGAGGTGAAGAGGGCCATAGCTATCCCTAGTCCAAGGTAATTCCTTTCCCCCCGACTTACCCAGGTTTTCTTCAAACAAAGAAATCCCTCCACGCTGTTCACCAATTTTTGGAAATAATCAACTTTTTATTTCGTTTACGCCTACAAATTCATACTGATTGTTTAAGTAGTAAAAAAATCAAATTGTCTGGCGACAAACTTGACCTACGCCTTGTACAAGTATAAAGCTTTTTCCCCTGATAACATCGGCATGCTATGTAGTAAATTAAGATCATCGTTTTTCTGCAATGATTTTCCTTGTCTATACGGAAGTCAAAATTGTTCGAAGTCGTCGCGCGCGATATGCGCGAGTTCGTTGTAAGACGCGAGGTTCGGTGGGTCACTCGCTTGTAAACGGGTCAACCGTGAACTACTCAATTGGTGCCCAGTTCAACCAAATCATGAATTCCCAAAAGGAGATTTTTCCATTGTTATGTATGTCCATTTTGGCAAAAGCCTTGTCCATGTCTTGGTTGTGATAACCGAGATATTTCATCATGGCTTCAAACTGCTCCCTGTCCAAAGTACCGCTGTCATCCGTGTCAAACGATTTGAAATACTGAAATGCTCTGCTAACACGTTCAAACTTAGGGTGATTGTCTAATCGCTGAAATCTTTCCCCGCTGCGTAGCCAGTCTTTGAACTCTCCATATGACACCTCCAGATCTCCATCTTTGTCTAGGAGGAAAAAGTATATTTCCGATTGATGTAGGTCCAATCCCATTATTTCCTCTAGGAAAAATTTCATTTCTTTCTCGTCGAGTTTCCCATCTCGCTTGGTGTCGTACTTGTCGAAGAGACTGTGAATAGCCACCGATGGCACGTTTCTGTCAAAATAGCTGAAACCAGTGGACATCATAGAATTAAATGTATCAACTCGGGTAAAATTTATGAAAGCTTTGCACTTGATTTCCCGCTAAGCTTTTCTGTGCAAGCCTATGATTACGTTCCCTTTTTATAGCCGTGGTCAGGGCGTAAACTGTTAATTAAGAAGGATTGCGGAAAGGGAAAATTTATCTAATTCCCAGAAACAAATCGATTCAACGCGTCTGATCAAACCATGTGATCCAGTTGAGACGTCATTGACCTTTGTTTCTCGGTAGGAGGAACGCGTAACAGCTAAATTTAGCAGAACTTTCCTGGAATTGTTTGTTGTAACTCATCCAAATAATTACTAGTGCGATTTGCTCAACAAACATCATCTAGGGCGAGGGGGAAATTGATGCTTATTCCTTTGTTGTAGGTAAAATCAATTTCCGCTCCGCACGTCGAGAACGACAATTTCGTTTCGGGAGACGAAACTTATTGAAATAGCAATATTTCCATTCACTAAATTGTGAACTAAAATCCCATAGAGTAAAAGAAGGTAACCAAGCGATCAGGCAATAAGTAAAATAACAAGCTGCTCATATGGTAATAGCATTACTGTAACACGATAGATAGGAAATATGTCCTCAAATTACACTGTTTACTTGATAGCAGGTAATTTGGTGTTAACAACTGAGTTGAAAACGTAAATTGGCCACCCTTTACGGTGGCCAATTTACGTCGTCTTCAACTCAGTTGTTAACATTCAATTACCTGCTATACTCTCCCACCGACGCAGCACCACAGTTTCTCTAGAAACTAACCCCCTTAATTCATTTGTTTAATTGATACACACGTCACACAGGTGTGGAAAGTTTGAAACTCATTCGGCGGAAATGACGTCATGTCTAGACGGCAAGCATAGTTTTCAAACGTGATGTTTAAATCTTTTGTCCAAGACCAATGGAGATGGAAGGGGGGGGGGGGGGGGGGGGGGGGGGGGGGGTTTACGACGAAAGATACACTTTTCTTTACTTCTTAACCTCTATTCAACAAACCTTTAATAGACAAGGGCATTAACAACGGTTTTCTCTCCATTTTTATGACTAACAGTTGAGGCATCATCGGTATTTTATGACCGAAAAGGTGATTTTTGCTTGAACAGACTGTTATGGGGAGGGCCCCCTAATCCTCCAGGGTATTGAACATTGAGTAGAAAGGTAATGAAATGAACTCGATCACTTGCTAAATCGTTAGAATGAATTTTTGAAGCTGAATGAGTAACGATTTATTGTCAAAATAAGTGTGTAGTACAAATTCAGCAGGTCATCAGTAGACAACATTTACCTGGAAAAAGATTTCGTTACCAGAAACACAGGAAAGGATTGTATATCAATTTACCTCAGGGACGAGAGGCTTGGGAGAGATTTACAACTACCCATGCAACGTGGCTCGAGACTTGCATCAGCCAACCTCGTTTTCGAGAACTCGTTTCTTGGAAGTCACGTTTCTATAAAAACCCAGAAAGCCGTACTCTACAATCAAAAGTTAACTCTTGATCCTTTCCACCCTAACATCAGTATACATATTCTCCATACTGTTCTCTATACATTTCCTCAGGTGCTGACAAGGAGAATTTTTTCAACAATCAAAAGCTTCATTAGTTGGTTATCATTTATTTTATGCCCGTGACCTTCATTCTGCGTTGGGGTGAACTTGAAAGGAGAGATTAGAAGTTAGTCATTCTTTTACGGTTTAAAGGGTTAAGTAACGGAAAGTGAAACTTTTTAGAGTTCTTTACTGCTGTTATAGAAAATTTAGGAGAGACTAAATAAACTGAATTTGAAAACGACTTGAACCACACCAAGTGAAAGTTTCCAAGTTTGAGTCGGAGACGAAATGAGTCAGTTTTATTCGTTTATTTGCTAACCTCTCTGTTTTCTGTGGCTCTCCTTTTTAGCTGCCATGTCAGTACCCCAAACTGTCACATCGGTGACAAGGACAATTATTGAAACCGTGAACATTCATCACCGAAATACGATCGCTCATAATGTGTGTAATGATATTTAATGAGTTCTTGCGGACTTCAAACGCGGCCTCGATACTTTCTATTACGATATCAAATAAACAATGAAAGATCTTTATAAACAAAGATTGCTCCTCGCATGGACGGTTTCTGGAAACTACTTTCAGCGAAAATGATAATAAACAACTCCCTTTGTTTCTTCCGAGTGGCAATCAGCCCTTTCGCTTGAGGTGTTCTGTGCATGACAATCCAAAGTCAACCTTGAACACATAAAACTGAGCTAAGGAATATTCAAATCCATAACTGTCATTTTGGAGTCACTCCAATAACCTAGTTAATGACATTCAAATCCGTGGGGTGGTGACCAGTGGTCACATATTTGATCTTGTCAGACCTTAGAGTAACTCTTGACCTACTCGGGAACAGCATTCGGATGAATCAAATGTTCAAGGTCATTTTGTCTATGCTGAACTCAAACGTTTAAAAGTGCTATACAGAGCTTTTCTTTCCTTACTTCATTTTCATCTATACCCATTGTTATAATGGCAATGGAAGGAGATTTAGTCGCATTAGTTTATATCCAATATTCATATTACAATATTCCATGTGAGTAAAGTCTGAATTTTCGTTGAGCTAACAGGACTGATTAGGTTTTTGAAGCCATTTTTACGATAACGCAAATCGATTTCGACATGTAATTTTTTTTGTCGGCTCATCAAATAATTGGAAAAAAAAATCAATATCGCCATGGTTTCGTCACAGGAACGAACCCATTCCGACGATCACGTATGGATTTCTGAAGCTGAAAAGGCAGAATTGAATTTTTTCTTGCTTCTTTTTTTTGAAAAGATTCAGCTAAACAGATTGAGGCTGAACGTTGAGAAAATGCCCAAAGAGGCGTGTGACATCATAGTTATACCTTCGAATGATACTCAGTGAAATGTTCGAAGAGAAAAAACCCCCTTGAGTGAGAGAGTCCTTGTTCCAACGTTTACACCGGCGGAGCTCACGCAAGACCTAGTGTTTATGTAATACAAATGACCACAACTTCCGAAAATTTTCCTTTTGCAGTTAATCACATCGCGTTTCATACATTTTCTTGCTCGAAGCAATGTTAATTTTCCTAAAGATGATTCGGTTCCTATTTTTGTTAAAAATTCCTAAATTAAGTTGAAGGAAGTTTAAGGAAAAGTTTTCTGAAAGTGGATCGGCTAAAGTATATGCTTACTACCATGTAAAAGAAAATTACAAAAAAACAAAAACAGTAAATGGTGAATTTTATGGCGCTGTTCGATTCTAGAAGCACGTGCCTACGATCTCCATGGCGAACTTGAGTTTAACAACAAAGGTAGACTCTTGGACGGGCATCCGATTTCATGTCAACTTCCTAAAACACTGGAGAGTTTGTGGTCTCGTAAATGAAGTGTAGATGTTGATTTTTCGCTTATTTTGCCCGTATATGGTCACTGACGTCATGTTGCCGGAAGAGACTACTCACAGGGCGGCTGTTAAACTCTCAATAAAATGATTATGTCGGAAATCTCTGTTCATTACTATTCCACAAGCCAGGATTACATGTCTAGGATATAACTGCGCACTTCCCTGTAAGAAAGCAAAACAAAAACACACATTACGTAGGACCATTAATTAGATAAATTTTTCATGTGCTCAAATGCTATATAAGCGGGGGCAGACTGTTCCTTCGTGGCAAAACTAACGGAAAGCAGAACTAGATAAAGAAGAAGATAGAGAAGCTTGAACAAGCACTGACTTATCCAAAATGCAAGCTGGACTCAGCTTTTTCGACAAAAAAGCCCCAGATGTTGTTGTTCGCAGCCTCTTCGAAAAATACGATACGAATGGAAATGGTAAACTGGACGAAAAAGAAATGCAAACCCTATTAGAAGGAGATTTAGGCCTGGATCGAGAACAAACTGGAGTGTACATTCCCCTTGTGGACAAGAACGGTGACCATGATGTCTCCTTTGAAGAATTCAGCGACTGGCTTCGCAGCGAAGAACACTTTCAAATTTTACATGACAAACAAATGTTTGAAAAACTTTCCAAAGCGTTCAGATATTTCAAGAGTTTTACCACAGATGACGGTGACACTCTTGATCGCGTTCAGTTCGAGGAACTGATGAAGTTCTTTGGGTATGAAACCATCGACATGGAGAAAGCTTTCGCGAAAATCGACAAGGACAAAAATGGGGTAGTGTCTTTTTGGGAGTTCATGGTATGGTTGAAATGGGTGCCAGTTTTGAACTGATTAACACTTTTACGAACTACTCAATTAAGTGTTTGTTTTAATATATCTGAGGTGTGAAATTACCGAAGAGAACTGAAATCGTTATCTTTGAACGTAAACTCGAGAACAAAATTATCTGAGTTTAGTAGCCCACTGACAATTTTGCAAGAGGCCATATATTTCATTCGATTCCGTGCTTTATCTCCAGGTCGTGCGAACCATGCATCAAATTTCCAAACCTAAAAAAAATTCTTGCATAATCTGGTTTTATCAAATGAGTTGATAATGTAAAAGAGACCTGTTACGTAAGAGTTCTCACTCATCACAATTGTATTTATTTATTTTGTATTTATTCAACTTAGATGTACATATTTCGTTTTCATGAATCATCCTATTTAAGTTGTATACACTGATTCGCTAATTTATTCAAAATGGACATAGTTCAATTTTATTCACAAAACACTTTTCTTGCCAACTTTATGTTGGTGAATGTATTAAAGAAGCGTAATTGCTTGATGCTGTAAAATGTTATGATACACATTGTTAACTTATGCGAAATTAAAGGTAATGACGATGGAAAAACAGAGCCTCGGTCTTCTTAATTTTTTCTGATGCCTCAGTGACTTCTGTCATCCGACCGCCATCATTTTTCATTTCGTCCCACTCATGAATTAAAATTAGACAAAAGTAGAACAAAACATCAGCTAAGTAACATAAAACAAATAAAAAGCGCTACAAATTGCTTTGTTTCTTTCTTCTTTCTAATAAACTTTCAACAAATGCCTTAACAGCGTGGTTAATTGCGTGGGTACACCGACGTGACGTCAAATCGCAGGGAAAACCCTTGATGTCGTAAACGTGACAAAGGTGTGACAGCTCATTCTGATTGCTTTTAGTTTGTTTAAGCCCATCTTATTAATTCTTTTGAAAGATCAGTCGCGTTTTCTTAAAAAAAAACAAAGCCCTTTATTGATAGTTCTCATGATTACACACTAACCGTAAATACAATCTAGGACTGGTCTTTATGCAAATTCCAGACTGATTGCTAGTGCGAAATACTACCATTACCATACGAATAAAAACATGTATTTATCCGTCGCTTAGTCATACTGCTTGAGTGGAAATGACGATTAATCTGTTTCAAGTATTCAAAAGTGGATTAACACATGTGCGAACGCATGCACTTCGAAATAAAAGATAACAAAATCCCTAGAATCCATTGGAAATCCGCCGTTTATCATTAAATATTAGTTTTTGCATCATAGTGTAAAAATATGTTACCTTCCTGACACAATGACTTTAATCAGGTTTCTCTGAATAAATTATTTTCGTTCTCCCGACTAAATTCGTTAAGCAAAGTACAACAATAACACATAAAGTTAACAAAAGAGTCTTCATCGCTTCGTACAACAACTTTGGTGAGAAGACACTCCAAACAAACAGATGATACCGCTGAACAAATACCAACGTACAGTAGGAACAGAGGATCAGAGCCTGGCAGAGTGAGATAACGTAACACACTTGATGGAGAGAATACTGTAACCTGATTGTAAAAAAGTGAACTGAAATCAGTACAAAATAACCAAATACGATTACAGCAAAAAGCTTACCGAGAACCATTACAGAGCTGGGATAGGAGAATCAATCCCGAGAAAAGAGTCTTCCTCCAAAGCCAAATTGTAAATAGCAGAAGGAGGATGGAACACCTTGTATATGTGATGTGTGGCTTAAAGGAGAGTTTCCGATCAGCCTCTTAGTCCACAACTTTTTGAAATTACATGAGATAGCTTCCGAGAAGGCTCTTATAAGCACTGTAACATGAGCTACCACCCGCCAATCCTCTTCATTTTAAGTGCGATACAAGGCCACAACAATCTCTTTCCTTTAACCCCTGTTTTGTGAGCATGTTCTGCCTTACCCATGAGAATTTACCTCACCGAGCTAAGCCAGGACAGTGTGGTACCAGGTGATTTTCAGTCGACCATGTCTTCTGTCACCAAATGGTGCATGCCCAGTGCAGGGCAACCTTTAGGATACGACCCTGAAGAATAACACGTACCATAACCCTTACACGCTCACTTCACTCGGCGGCTCGAATCACGCGGGTCTTACCGCTTGTGTCGCAGAACTAATAACAGCCCGCACGTAAGGCATCGTCTGAAGCGATAAGAATTATTGCAATTCGTACTGTATGAGATTCTCGCACATTGCAAAGAATCTCCAACATAATTACTGATTCATTGTAACACTGAAGCACTGCGAGAGAAACGGCTACTACTACTACTCTGTACAAAAGAAGAGCGCACGTGTGCCCTTACCTCTTAACATCTCGAGCGTTTCTCACAATAGACAACACTGCTGCCATTAGCCAAAGTAAAAGCCCACAGTAAGTAGCTACACATGTTAAGGGCCCCACAATAACAGGTATATGGTCCTCTAATCCCACATAGCCAGCTGATATATCCACTGACGCAAGGCTGTTGGAGTTTCCCAAGGAAAAGTACATAGCGTGTCCCATCCAAAAAGAGCTGAGTACAATAAGCCATGTGTTCTCCTGACTAAAAACCAAAATATGATTGTCAAGAGACAAACTCTAACGTGGTTATAAGATTGAGACATAACTGAAATGTTAGAGATGCCCGAGATTCGACCAAGACTGAACACTCTGTTTTGATGGTGTAACTTTGTAGCGATGCATGGTTGGCGCTGGTTTCGCACACAACCAACAGCAAATTAGAGCAGACTTCAGAAAAGAAATTATGGGAAACCTTTTTTGACTCTCAGCCTCTGGCTGCGATGTATATGTTAATCTATCCATTAATTTTTGCCCATTTCAACTGATGGCACTATTGGCGGCCACTATTGGATTAATTCCAAATTCTCCCGTCTAAATATACTAGGAAAAGTATGGCAGAAAGTAGGGAAGGTTACTAATCGGATCGAGGGAGTTTAAGGAAAATATCTTCATAATTTGGCCTACATGTACCTTTTCCAGAGCAATTTCCTCAAGATATGTTCCTGAACCACAAAGACCGCTAAAAGTGGTGCGTTGTGAGGCCTCTGAAGGAGAATTTCTAACAATAGTAAAGCTGATTGAATCCCTTCTAACGATCCACAGACGTCAAAATTATATTCCTGGAAAGTCTTTTTCTTATTGCTGTTTCTCTTTCTCCTACATAAATTAATAACATTCCCTATTGCTATTATTGCCACGCAACAATACGTCAATCGTGCTGCTGGGACCCCCTTCGTGATAGATTCATTCGGTATCCATGGTAACTGAAGACTTCCTGTGACAGTCCGATATACGTAGGCGCTTACAACACCGACAACAAAGACAAGGGTGATTAGCACATTTTGACAGTTGTAGCGAAATCCTACGATGAAGAGAAGCGATACAAAATAACTTAAAGACAGCACGTTTCGGTTGTAAGGCTTCACAAGCCAGTCTCCAATATCAGGTCTATCTGCCCATTTTATTCCAGTTTGGTTCCAGCTCCTTGACAATCTTCCTAAAACAAGAAGTACAAAACATAACAGAAGTTTCCACAAAATTCCCCTCTTGGACGTCATGACTTCCAGTCCCAAAGCTCTTTTTTCATTTATGTGATTCCCAGATCCCGTTGAAGTTGAAACTGACCGAGAAAGATCTTGGTTCGAGATTGCATTTTCAGTTCCAGTCCTTATCCTATCAACGTCTTGACTCGTCAAGCAAAGCCCATCCGCGTTATGTCTACTTATTGTGGAATGGTGAGAATTTTTGTGAGAACTAGCGTCACCAAGTTTACTGTAAAGCTCAAAAGACTTTCCTTTCCCACATTTGTGTGTCTTGTTATTGCCCGAGTCCTCGTCCTTTATCACCAAACGATGGTGAAGTTCTGTTTCATTGAGATGCTTACAAGATGTGATTTTCTCAAGAAAAATGATAACGAACAAAGTAGATGTCAAAAGGTACCAAGTTTGATGTTCTTCTTCTACAAAACTACTCGAAGGGAGACTGACAACATGGAGGAAAACTCCTATGACAAGAAAGCAGCAAGTCTTATTTTGAAAAAGCGATGAAAGGGCTGATGTAACCACCCAGAAAAAAGGCTGAGAGCTTGAAAAATGATGAAAAAGACCAATCAGAACAGATCCAAGTGTGACTCCTGATAGCAATGCAAATATAGAAGAGAGAACGATAGATTCCAGGCTAGTTACTGAACACAAAATGTCGCTTCCCCCTGAAAAAAGAAAAGAAAAAAAATAATTTGACGATTGTGGAAAAAAAACACTTGGAAGAACATTCTCCGCCTTAAGTGTCTGACGCAGAGTTTGAGTCAGGATGAAAATGTTCTAAAACGGTGTGAGGCATTTTAAGACTTGTCACAGGAATAAGATGCACTGAAATGGAACCCAGTACTCCACGAGCCGCGTTGCAGTAATTTTTAAAGAAACCCTATAAAGTGACTTTTGTAGACCAGTTACAAAGAGAAATTTGTGAAGAGCAATCCAAGATAATTTTTGACACTCAATTGAAATTGCTTCAAAGCAGTCACTTCCCCAACAGCAGAAGCTATACAAAAGTTTACTTGAGCACTGTTAAAATTGCTATCCATACTAAGGTGATTTATAAAAGAACACAGAAAAAAAATTAATTAGCGAAGTTATTTGGATGCTCTATCAAGTAATAGTAATAGAGTAATAGAATACATTCTTTAAATTATCTGCAATTGCTGATGGCCCTGCCACAGAGATATCTTCTTACCAAACACTGTGCTGGAGCAAGTAGAAAGATGAAGAACTGCAACAAGTAGAACAGCGCCGCTCACAACAATAACAGTTGTTGCTGAAAAATTCATCTCATCTCTTGTCTTCATGTCAAACGAAAGTTGAAGCAAACCACAGACGAACCAGTATAGAGTTTGAAAAAGAATAGCTATGCCGTAAATCATAGCATGTAGGTTGTAGTTTGAAAGAGAGGCTGTCACATGACCACTCATTTTCTGAAGTGCCAGGATGTACTGCTTAGCAACCTTAGTTGCTGAGGTAATCTGGTTTCTTGTAGTACTCAGGTCAACCTCTGCTGATTTAAGCCAATCAGAGTGCAGCTTGTGGGCGTGTTGAGGTTCCCACATGTTGTCAACAGAATGCCCATTTGTGATGAGCACTTGAGATAGTTGGTGTGAATTAAGCTGCATTGCTCGTAGCTTTTCTCTTGCACTATGGGAACCGAATAGTTCGGGAAGAAGGATTCCTAAGCTGAGAGAATGGAAGGTTGAGACATAGGTAAATAATATGATGCAGAAACAATTAAGACTAACTGTTATTAACTAGATATACCTATCGATAGAGTGCCAACGAGCGATCAATTTGTGGTTTGATAAGGGGGTTTATGCTGAGGCCTAGTTTTTTCCAATTGATAAAAGGGTTTTTAATAAGAGTAACATGGAAACTGCACTAAGGTTTTAAGGGCTTGGTAATATTAACCAAGTCATTTAATAACTTGAACATGTGAAAGGATGTGAATAGTTCTTGTTATTAATGTAACATTATAAAGAATAACATAACAAAGAATATGAATCGTGTTGTATTGTATAACTGTTGCTTTGAAAGAGCATAAAAAAACAACACTGAATTTTTCATTTACAATGTAACACGTCTTTTCATTGGCTTGAATAGTTCCTTCCTTGCAATTGGCTTAAACTGAGACATTCTTACATCTTACACCTTACACCTTACACTTACACTTTTCAATGCCGATCGAGAATTTTTTCGCATACACCATTCTTCGCGCGGCACTATTCTCTGCCGCCTCGCCAGCCGAGCGTCTTCGCTCGGCTGGCTCGTTGGCAATTACCTGTTTTTAGGTACAGGAAGCCCCAGGAGAAGACTCAAGGTTGGAACAAGATCAATTTGTTGAACTTGTTTCTTTGAAAACTCTTCACCTCCACCATTCTCAAATAATGGGCTCATAAACACAAGGGGTGTGTTTGTCTCTGCCAGAGATGCTCCACCATGACTGCCTACCTCACTCATTCCATGATCACCGCACAGCACCAATAATGATGGTGCCTTTCTTTGTTGATGCCAATGGAGCATTTCATTGTAGATATCACTTACAACTTGGTCCATTTCTAAGAGTTTTGGTGCAACTAAGGGACTTGAAGGTCCTGCAATATGTCCTATATGATCAAGGCCCAGGTAATGAAGAATCATAACATCCCAGTCATTGCTTCTCAACTCTTTACCAATGTGTCTTGTAACATTGTTATCTACCTGTAATAGGATATTATCAGAACAACTAAGAATGTTGATCTGAATCTATAAGATCCTTTCCTAAGTATGGGAAAGGATCATAAAGAAAGAAAGCAAATGAACTAAAACTAAGCTAAACAGTCCTAAATCAGCTAAAAAAAAACTCACACAAAGGACCAAGACAGAATGTCTCTTCACTATATCTATACAATATCATGCAGACAAGTGATGTGAATTAAGATAAATATCCATTATGGGATTACTAATTGATCCAATACCAAATTCTCCATTCTAACATGAGAATCATTTTGCAGACAGTAAGGAGAATTATTTATGAGATCTTGGGAGTTACAGGGTAGATGGCTGAGTTTTTTAGGTTGAAAATGTGACAGTTTATCCCAATACAAATTCTTATATTTTGTCTGTTGCACAATATTAACATATTTGACTGTATATTTATAGAGGTTCATTGCATGAGGTTAAGCTAATTGAAACATTTTAAGGATAAATTCATTTTTTTCATTCTGTGGAACAAAAGGGTTAATTCAAGAATATTTTGTTTGTACCTCCGTATAATCAGTCACAAAAAATGATGTGGTTCCATCAGTTCTTTCAAAGTGTCCAGGAAACAGCTTCATCCAGGTATCATCACCATAAAAAACAAGCTTCTTATTTGCAAACTTCATCTGACTGATCAAACTGTCTTCTTGTAAAGAACTTGAGTCCATATTGAGAACAACATCAATAAATCCTGGTATGCCACCTGTTGTGAGTGCCTGTCAGAACATATCAACATGTCATATGAAAACAATACAAATTCTGCACCCATCTCTTGTTTAGTTCTTGTGAAGGTGTGCTTCATAGAGATTCATGCATGAGAAATATTGGCATCCTTTAGCTCCAAGATATTTTGACCAAAAGATCTCCATTTCATATGTAGTGAAACCTCTGATAATGATCAAGCTTGGTTGATAAATCTCTTAACCCATTAAACCCACAAAGTGACCAGCACGTAATTTCTTCTTACAGTAATACTGGTGAATCATTCATGAAGATCTTGAGAATAAAGGAAATCAACCTAAGAAGCTTTGATTGTTAAACCAATTCTCCTTGTCAGTGCCAAAGGAAATGGATAGAGAAGAGTAACAAGAATATGGATACTGATGTTTGGGTGTTCTGGGTTAAGTAAGCCAGCAGTAAGTAACAGTCTCAGTGTTCATTAATGGCATCAATGCTCTGCTCTCTAATTTGCCGGGTATTGTTCCATGACCTGGGATACACAATGACTTCTCTATAATTTTTTTTGGGGCAAGAAGCAGTTGCCTAATGGTTGGTGCACTGGACTCCACATCAAGAGGTTTCGGGTTCAAGACTTGGCTAAGTCATCATATTGTGCTCTTGGGCCAGACATTTTACTTTCACAATGCTCCTCTCCACCCAGGAGTATAAATGGGTACTGTCCCTCTCCTCCCAGGAGTATTAATGGGTACTGGTGAAATGTCAGGGAATCCTGATGAAACACTGGGAGTAACCTTGCAATAGACTAGCATCCAATCCACGGAAAAAGTAATACGCCATGTCACTTCATGCTATAGAAACTGGTATAAGCTCTGGCCTGCAGGGCTACTTGGCTCCAGTACAGACTCTTTCTTTTATCTATAGTATTTATATTAAGAGCCTTGCAGAGTTATTTTTTTGTCTACAGATATGAAACATACTTAACTGACCTTAATTCTTGGCATAGTGACAGTTGGTGGATGTGCCTTTGCCATGAAACTGAGGAGTATTACACAAGGATAGTAAATATGTACATGTATATCCTCACTGAAAATTCAGTAAATAACAAAGCGATAATAGTGAATAAGGGTCTCCAGGTTATGTCTTAAAAGGTCCCTGAGGTTTCTATTTTATTGTGACCAATAACATAACGGAATCAACCCTTGGACCCCTAAGAGTGACTAACATCTGAATTCTCCTTACAATATCACCCCTGAATCCTACATTAAGGTCTTAAGAATATAGGGAATGATCACCAACTAAAGAAGCTCTGATTGCCAAACCAGTTGCTCTTGTCAACACCTGTTGAAATGTATATCAAACAGTACGGAGAATATGCATACTAATTTTAGGGTGTAAAGGGTTATTGTCAATGATCCACCTGATCTCTGAGAGCTGGTAGTTATAATATACACTGAATTCAATTTAATTCACCTGAATGATTTATTTAGTCTGATCAGTTCTTGCGTAAAAGGCATCCTTATCTGCTCACTGTAAACAAAATCTGCTCTCAGTGCATCTATCAACATGATGACCACTCTTCCAAATTTCGGAGGCAAAAGATCTCCTTTCCCTTCAAATGATGGCTCAGGTGGAAGATTCTCGTTAGTTGCTCTTCCATCTATGGCTTTCTTAAGCGGAAAGAAGCCTCTTAGGAACAATATTAAGCCCAGGATTTGACAAAGAAGCAGGAGAACTATGAGTACGCTATGACCGTGAGGCATCTCCTCGACGAAAGGTGTTTTTTCTGATGAACACGATCAAGAAATCAGCGATCTAAAAATCAATATTTACACGAGATCGCTATGACACGTCAGTATTAAGAGATAACTCCAAGAAACTTCGACTAAAGAGAGCTAAATCTTCCGCCATTTTGAAAATGTGACTACGATACTAGTGGCCTGCGCGACACAACAAAGAGCATATTCAACAGAGTAAAGCAACATGGCGGACGGCATGGAAGATTTAAAGTTGACTGTAAACAAGGATTTTGCAAAGAAACTCCACAAACAGAAGGAAAAAGCTGAACTCGACCAGTGTAAGTTTCTAATAGCCTTTCTTCGAAGGCATAAATATTTGAACTATGATGCCAGCGTTTTCTTGTAAAGCGCATAATCGATATTAAACTTGGCTGCTTGCAAGAGGCTTTCCGTGTGAGTTACGAATTTAAATCTCAATAACTTGTGTTCGTTTCAGTGAAGCAGAAATTTGGTGATAAGGATCCAGAGAGTGAATCCGATTCAAGCTCATCTGAATCAGAAGATGAGGATGCAAGGGTGAGTTCTAAATCATTTCATTTAGGGTTCCGTTCAGTGTTTGTGAAATACTCATCCTTGTAGCTTGAATGCATAATCTGCTAAATCCTTGATGCTTTAACTTCCAAGATCTGATTCTTAATTCTCCCCTATGGTTGCTACACCTTTCCTTATAAAAAATTTATGAGAATTTGGTGTCTGGTGAACATGACAACTTCTGCCGTATAAGTTTGAGTATTCTTGTTACCTGTTTTGTGGATAATGTACAAAGAGTAACATTAATTTTTTTTTTTATTGCAAGGAACTCACTTCACAAAAGGAAAAGGATTTTCTGACTGTCCTATCCATGATCAAGAATAAAGACCCAAAAATCTATGAAAAGGATTCCAATTTTTACCATGAAGATGGTATGGCAAAGGATGCTTAGAAACAAATTTGATCCTCTTACCTATTTCTCCATTTTTTTTAAAATTCAGACTTAAAGTTTGTTTTTATTCTTAAATAGAGAACAGTAGTTCTTCAGGAGGGAGTAGCAAAGAGCAGAATAAATCCAAAAAGCCTATGTATTTAAAAGATTTTGAAAGAAAGGAGTTATTGGAAAGAGGAAGGTTAGTTGTTATAATAAAAAGAAAGTAAAACATTTAAAACTTTTTTTTTACCCTTTCTATACATTCCCCTAGCCTCTCCTCTGCCAGTTAGCTGTAACTACCTCTCACCTATCCTAAACTGAATTCCACAGTCATGGTTGTTGAATATAATTTTGTGTGATACTATTTAGTCATATTATACTGTTTCAAGATCCGTTTTTATCAACCATTCAGTAGCATACAGCATTGTAAGACAATATAGATGTAACTCGATCTCAGTCTAGTTAGACATTGATGGTGCATGTAATCATGTACATATTGTAACATATACTATCATGTGAAGTTTGATATGTGTCTTTCTTTAAGATTATTGTTTAGTATCAATAAACTTGTTATCAATAAACTTGTTGGTATAACTTTGCTCATGTGTCAGGCATTTTTTTATTGGAGTAGAGGAGTAGTGATTATCTTATTTGGAAAACCAGCTCATTAAAAAAATTTTGGGGCAGGCTTTTTATTTTTAATAAGAAAGTTTGCCTGATTTTGTATTCTAGCGAGGCATTCTTGAGTGATGAAGAAAGTGATGATGAAAAAGTGCTTGAGGTGAGTTAAATGTAAGGGTACAAAACCTCTGGATGGTAGTCTTGAGGAACTTTCAAAGTTCAAGCATCAAACAGAAGTTCAGGGAAAGAGAATAAAAGCCTCTTCTATCTTATTGTGTGGAAAGATAGATGATTGGACCATAAATAAACTGCACTGGTACCAAAAAGTAATACTCTCTTGTTAAATTTCTCGAGAGTACTCACAAATGTACTGTGTACTCAGTAGACAAATACTGTCAGCTTAGTCCAGTTTCTTGAGGGGTGTGAATGGTCTCACAATGTTAATGCAGTAGGTTATTAATTTATCCCCAACCATTTGGTCCAATTGTCACACAATATAATTCTGTATTTCAGGGCAGAAAATCTCCTACTTTTGTGGAGGAGCAAAAACAAATAAAAGAAAGGTAAAGATGAATTTTGTGAGATTACAAGTATCTATACGAGCACTAAGAGCTGCCCATAGCAACTTTTCTTGACAACTTGTTCTACTGGTGCCAATCAAATCAATTAAAAGGTAACATACATGTCAGTCTTGATGAGTTGTCATGTTATCTTATAGTTTCAAGAGAGCTATTCAGGATGATGGCGAAGATGCTGATTTTCTGAAAGTTAGAGAAAAAACTATGGAAGAAAAGGTAACAAGAATGTTTTCTTGTACCATTCCCTGATTTAAGACAGACAGAACCTCTCAAACACAAGACACTTGCTTTAAAGATGTGCTTTCTGCTCATTGGAAGGAAGCTATAACTGACCTAATTCACACTTATTTATCTAGATGAAGGAGGAAAGAGATTATGTGGAATGGTTGAAAGGACAGGAGAACAAACAAAGCACAAAGTCTGCAATGGGTATGGTAAGTAAAGCATTAAAAAACATTCAGAATTTACTCATCATTGTTTAGTTTGAGTGCTGAGCTTACTCAGTTTAAAAATTCAGTGGTGGGTAACCTGAAAGTCACATCCCTTGTTATTTATAGCTTTAATTTATTATTTCTCAGTGTCACTGCCTTAGATTATCAGCTGTTTATTTTCTTTGCTTTCAGTCTGTGAGACAGTATCTTGCTTTTGGAATAATATTGAATTCTTTTTCTCTCTGGTATTTACAGCAGGCCTTACGTCATTACTGGAATGATCCCAATTTAGATGAAGGGGAACAGTTTTTGAGAGATTACATTCTGGATAGAAATTACCTTGAGAAAGATTCAGAGAGGTAATATTCCAATTTACTTTCATTTTTATGTTTCTTATTTAACCATGATTAATGATGTTCAGGTTATTTATTTATCTCTTGAGTAATTTCTCTCTTTTCTAGAATTCCTACATATGATGAGATTGTGGGCTTTGATGATGATGAGGTACAGTTAAACCCTTTACGCCCTAACATCAGTATGTATATTCTCCATACTGTTCTCTATACATTATTTCGAGTGTTGACAAGGAGAAATTATTTAAAAATTAGGAGGCTCTTTAGTTGATGATCATTTCCTTTTTTCTTGTGACCTTAATGTATGATTTGAGTGTGAAATTGTAAGGAGAAATGAGATGCTGGTCATCATAGAGATGTAAATAGCAGTTCTTACCTAAAAATTAGTGACCATTCCCTTAATTTGCATCAGCTTTTTTAACTCTAAATAATGAACAGTCCCTTATTTACAAAATCAATTAAAAAAAGATTTAATATTCTGATAACAATACTTATACTATAAAGGAGTCTGTTCATCAAATTCCTTCATCATGCCAAAAATTGATGTATTTAGTTGTGTGTCAGGAATTACTGTCTAGTCGCTACCAGTCTGCTGGCTACCAATCACACACTGATCGCTACCATGATGAAGTCTGATCACCATCACTGGGAATTACCAACAGAAAACATGGATGAAACTTAGTACTTAAAAAGCCACAAAGATTTGTAAAATAAAATTTCTGTATCATTTAATTTAGAGTATATCTTGAGCGATGATGTAATCAAATTGATCAGGCTTTTGTATCATTCTCTAGGATGAAACAGAAGTTGAGAAACAAGAAGAATTTGAACGAAAGTTCAATTTTAGATTTGAAGAACCAGACTCTGAGTTTGTAAGTACATTTACATATATGATATAAAATGCAATGGACTTTAAGATACTTCATACTGATGGACAAAGTCGAAAGAACAACCCAGCAAGCCATGATTGCTATTATTCTACATTTTCTGTCAGTATATACCACACAGGTGGTATATACAAACAAGGTGGAGCAGCCAAAGAGAAAAAATGATGCGTCAACAACTTAATTACTGACGATATCTTAAGTATTTCTCACTGTGATTAATCCTTGTAGTACATTACTCAAAAAAACAATTGCAGTATTTCAGAGTTTGCAGTAAGATCTTTTTGTTTGCCATTTGTGATTGATCATTTTTAATCCATTTGGCAATGTGTTTATTTTGGAGAAATTAGGGAGGACTACGTCAAACCTTTCTTCAATAGAATATTAATTTTTATTAATATTTTTTTCGCTTTAGATAAAAACATATCCCCGCACAATTCAAGCATCTGTACGAAAAACAGATGACCGTCGCAAGGAGAAGAGAAAAACAAGAGAGACAAGGAAAGAAAAGGTCAGATACAGTCAAGGTTTTTTATTCTCCATTTTCGGTAATGACCCCTTTGAGCCCTACCTTTACTGACTCTCTACTTTTAATTGTTATTTTAATGCAGGAGAAAGAACAGAAACGTGAGGAAATCAAGAGACTGAAAAACCTCAAGAGAAAAGAGATTATGGAGAAGCTTGAGAAATTAAAAGGTCCGTAGATGCACTGTAAATTGAGTTTTTCTTGTTAGACTTGGCTTGAATCTTTATTTTCTTACATGTATTCCCTGCACAGTTTTAACCACAGATACTGTACACTTCTTGACTGTTAAATGATTGTGATAAAAAATATTAAATTGTTCTTGTTTGTAGAAATAACTGGAAACCCAAATGTGGGTTTTAAAGAGGAAGATATAGAAGGTGACTTTGATCCCAAGAAATATGATGAGGCTATGCAGGTGATTTTGAATTGTCCTAATGGGAAATTTATAGAGTGCAATCTCTTGCTCCGAACACAAGAGATATACATGTAATGATACTGAATAATGTAAACATTCTTTGGAATCTCTGTTGATGGCCAAGATTACATTAGTGAATAACACATCAATCATGTTTAACGCCATCAAAATTCAAATGTGGAGCTTGCCAAAAGCATTGTAATTAATACCTTTGGGTCAAGAGCAGCAATCTTCTGTGTAAGTGTAAATGCCATTAATTGTTTTAAAATATTGGTTACATTGTATTTTGTCACAGAGAGCATTTAATGCTGAGTTTTATGAAGAAGATGAAAATGAAAAACCTGTGTTTGAAGATGATTTGGATGATATTGGTTAGTTTGATTTGTACTAAGTTAAGATATACTCTTCTCTTCCTGATCTAGTCAGCGTTATCTTCATTGTATCTTGATGTGCATGTAAAACAATCCCACCCATAGTAACTTTTTCCTTTCTATGCTGACAGGTTTAACCCTTAACCCTTTAGCTCAAATATCTAATTGTTAATTCTCCCCTTTAGCAGCTATGTATTTCCTTGTAAATTTGTGATAAGAATTTGATGTTAAATCAAGTTAACAACTTATACTTGATAAGTTTTAAGTATTCTTGTTACCTGTTTGCTGAATAGTGTATGTATATCATAGGGAAAAGTTACATGTTAATCAATTCTCGGAGTTACAGGGTAAACTTGAGGTGAACAATGAAGATGACAAGTCTTGTTGGTATGATCATAAACTGATTTAATCAAATGTTACAGAGCTCTTGTGTAACAGTTAGGGAACATAAGATTTTCTTATTTTAAAGCAGATGCACATGAAGCTCTTTTTTTTCCCTCTGGCAGAAAACTGGGATGAGTGGGAAGGCGATTATGATGAAAATGTGGATGATGAACAGCAAGAAGATGGAACGTTTGGTAGATATTAAGGATTGATGCTATGTCTTGTCTTCTGTTATTCAGTGTCAATCTTTTCATCGCCAACCTTTTACCTTGGTTGGCCTCAGCCACTTAACCCTCTAACTCCCAAGATTTCATTAGTAATTCTCCTTACTGTCTGCCATAAAATTTATGTGATGTTAGTTTGGAGAATTTGGAATTGGATCAACCAGTAATCCCCTAATCAATATTTTCTTTATTCTCATTACTTGTCTGCTTGATATTGTACTGATAGTGTAAGGAGAAATTCTGTCTTGGTCACCAGTGGGACTTAAAGGGTTAAGAAATCAAAGTAGGCTCATGTAGTAAATTAAATAATTATGACATTCTTTTAACTATTTCAGAACCTCACAGTGAAGATCCAAACTTTAATGTAAGTTTTACTCACGTTGATCAGTGAATTTCCTGAAAAGTAGTCTTTTATTAATAATATGTAGAGCCCCACTGGACACCATAGGTACTTAGTCACAAGATTCTCATCATTTTTTTTTTAAAATGATGTTAGGTGTGGATAAGGTGATTGTTTTTTATGTCCCTTGTACACCTGAGCATTGAAGAAGTTTCCTAACTAACCAAACTCACTATGTACAGTTTGCATTACTTTTTTATAATTTTCAAGATTATTTCTTCTTTAGATGGATGCTGATTACGAAGAAAATGGAAATGATCCAAATGAGTTTAGTGGAAGGAAAAGGAAGGGAAGATCGAGATTTGGTCATGTTATAGCACAGAAAAAACCAGTATTTAATCCAGGTGTGTTGATCTGTAGAGAATATCAGTTATGCTGTTTGGTATACTTCAAGTATCAAGATCTGTTTTAGCTACTTTATATGTCCTTTTAATTAAGAAGAGGAATTTGTTTAGAATCTAGATCATTCCCTGTAATTTATAGATTTCTTTCTCCTCATTTCCTGTTGCTGGATAACATACTCCAATTGTTAGAATAAGTTATTGGCTCAGTATTTCTACATGGTAAAGAGTTGATGTGCAGAAAGAGTTATTATCCGTTAGGTTTCTGCATTTCTCTAACCCTTCACTCCCAAGATCTCATTAGTAATTCTCCCTACTGTCTGTCATGCAATTCTCATGATGTTAGTTTGGAGAATTTGGTATTGGATCAACTTATAATCCTCTAATTGATATTTTTCTTAATTCTCGTCACATGTCTGCTGGATATTGTATGGATATTGTAAGGAGAAATTCTATCTTGGTCACTCATGGGTGTTAAAGGGTTAACTTATAATTTCTTTTTTTGTTTTTATCTTAGACGAGAAAACATTTGAGGAATATTTTGATGAATATTACAAACTGGATTATGAGGATATTATAGGAGACATGCCTTGTCGATTTAAGTACCGACAGGTTGTACCTAATGACTTCGGGCTCACAACAGAAGAGGTATGAGCGAGATTTGTGGTAAAAATGGTTATCCCAACCTTAGGACGCATTGCGATAGACCAAAATAAAAATAATCACAACGGCCATTGAGAAAGAAAGGAAAATATCTAAGGAGCTAGTGAAAAGTCCAGAAAAGAACGAGCAAACTGATTGAAGCGCGGGAAAACACGAGCGACCAAGTTAACGCTGTACTTAGTATCCCCCCTGTATGAAGCCCTCTTCTCTTATAGTCCCCCCGGCCTGGAAGTTGAAGTCTTTTAAAAGACCTCCCTCTCCCCCCTCTCTCTCCTTCCTCCCTCGCTGGCTCAACTTTCGCCATTTGAGAACTGGAACAATTTATAAGCAAATTATACTGCTATCTCGAGTGTTGTATGTTGCTTTCGTTTCATGAGAGTAATCTTCATTTTCCTCCCTTCAGATTTTATCCTGCCCAGACAGAGAGCTAAACCAGTGGGTCTCTGTAAAAAAGATGTCCCAATACAGGTAAAAAATCTGTATTCTGTTACATTTCGTGATAATTAAATCGAGGCACGTTCTTTCCCACTTCTACGGCTTAGATCACCCGTTGTAAGCATTTCCGATCATGTAGAACGTGATTAAGTTTGAATTTGCCAATTTTCGTTTATTTGAAGACCGAACGCAAAACTTTCTTCTTTCCTATCCCATTTCTGAACAGGACGGTTTTTCGAAAAGGTAATCTCGAGGTAAAATAAAATGCTCTTTGATTTTTTTATATCACAGACCTGAAAATGAAGAGTACTATGAAGTTAAAAAGTTTCGCAAGCGGGGGAGAGATCTGCTAAAGAAGAAAAGGATTCTTACCTCACTGGCTGAGAACGAAAGGTGTGTTGTACATGCAGATTTGAATTGCGGCTGTGGCGACATTGTCACGAAAAGGGTCCGTCTTATAACAAGCAAAGTCGTTAAAATATTTTGTGAATGAGGGCTGTACACGTATATGATGCATGTATTCCATGATGCCTGCCGTCAGACATCATGTGGTGAGTTCATTAGTCTTTTTTTACTTATTATGTTATTAATTATTTGTTTTATATTTCAGATCTGACGAAGTTAACGTCAAAAAGAAAAAGTTATCTGACCAAAGTTTACCGAAAAAGAGTAAAACGCTGGAACACAATGTTGATACAAATGGAGCGCAAAATGAACAAACTGATATCAGAAAGAGAACGAAAAAATCTTCTGATAAGATAGACAAGACCAATGAGAAGAAAAGCGAAGACTTACCAGGAGAGGAAGTTTCACTGGCTACAGAAGGTGAAAGCAATGGAAAGAATGAAGGGGAATCAAAAAAGCCGAAAAAACAAAAGACGAGAAATCCAAAGAGACGGAGGATGACGTTTGAGGAGTTGAAAGAACTTGCGGTCAAAAAGCGGCTGCGCAGACAATTTAAAGGCGCAAAGCAAGAAAAACTGAGTAATTTATCAGCTTCGCGACTGGCCTCCTATGGACTTACAAGGAAGAAAAAGAAGAAATAGAAGTTTTTTTTGTGATCTCCAGCGCAACTGATTTTGTTCCTAAAACTGAGATCTGTCCACCTGCCGCTCAGTTTTCCTTGATTGACACGACTTAGCTCTCTCTCCCCTCCCTTCTCTTCACTCGGCACAGTAGATCACAATATAATAAGGGGGGGGGGAGGTTGCATCCTACAACTTTATCTACTCATTCCCGTGTTCAAAGTAATCCGCTGACTAAACACGTGCAGTTTAAGAGAGAGGCTCCGAAAGAATAAATTTATGAATGAATTTAAAATGAATTTGCAACATTATTCGTTAATATTGGAAAAAATAATTAAAATGTCTGGTCATATTTATGATTTATAGCCAACAGAATTACGATCAGCTATACTTTCCGTTAAGGATAAATCTACCTTAAAGTAGTGGCCGCGAATCGATTGCGGGCGCTGCTTCACTAAGATAAATTTGAGAAAGCAGTAACCCGCAACTGCGTGTGACTGAGTCAGCAGAATTGCAAGGTTTAATTACACGTCGGGGAAAATAAACGCGTATCATGAAATCTTTTTAAAGGATTGCTTCTAATTGATGAGCATTAGAATGAATCACTGGTGAAGCGATTTTCATGACGTATTTAAAATTCAGTTTCCCCGGGTAATTAGATACTAAAGAAATTTCGTCATAATGGTGCTTTCGTATTATCGCTCTAGAATTGATAAGAGGGCAATCGCGAACTTGTTCCGTTGTATTCCGTTGTTGTTTTTCTGTTACAACATTTTGTTTGAGTGAAGCTTATAGGAAAAGCGACCCATGTATCACGACTGTCACGACGACTATGATTATCACAGTGCTGAAGAAGAACTGTTTTGTCCGAGTAGTGCCGAAGCCTCACGAACAGATAACGATGGATTACGAAAAGGTCGCGATGATTCAGAAGAATCTATAGTTCTCCAAGACTACTATGATAATTTGCCAAGGCCAGGAAGTCCAACACGTGATGATTATATTCAGCAACTGCTTGAAGCTTTAGACAAACAAGAGCAAGAGATTAAAGACCTTGACTACAAACTACAAGATTTACGGGGAGAGGTTCGGGAATACTTCTCAGGCTTGGAACAGAAGCTGTCCTGCTTCGAGGAAAAAGTTGACTTTGTTATAACCTTGGTGTCCTCGTGGGTCAATCATCCGCCCAACAATCGGGGATGTCGAGGATCTTGTTCAAACCACGTACGAACGGATAACTGCTTGTGCCGTGGTTTGAAGGAACCTCATCGATGCTGTGGGCGTATTGGAGGAGTTTGTGCTTGTTAAAAATTGATCATCTTTAAAATTCTACTCACCAACCAACCCACGTTGTTCTAATACCAGTTGAGAGAAATTCTCTAACCATCGAAGCTGGTTCGTAACGACGACCGCTTGTTTTTTTTTCTTCGATAATTATACCTTATTTTCTCATTCAACAGTTTGTTTATGATCACTGTAATTTTGAGAATTTTTATCGAAACATTTTTGTCACGTAACGTGACTTGCGCATATGAGACCACATGATCCTGTCAGGTTTGAGACACAACAAACACAAAGCTGTCGAAGCCTCTACTCGTAGTAAACTTTTGTATATTTGCATTAACTGTTTTGGACATCTCACAGCGCATTGGTCCATCGTTACGATACTTAGATGTGTTCCAAGGTTCCTAAGCGTAAAATCCATACGTCAGCCATCTGATCGGCTATGAAGGTGTCTCTTGATCTGTCGGTCAATTTTCATTTCTTAGCTAAGCGCGCGGTATTAACTTGCGCAGTCTAATAAAATGAGAAGCTTCTCATGGTTTGTATGGTAGTACGCTTGGATAATACAGCACTCTCGTGAGCCAAATGCGCATTCCGATTAGAGCAATTTTTCACGCAGTCTCAAAAACAGTCTCAATGGTCGATCAGAACTAACGAAAATATCACACGGAGCCAATCAGCACTCAAAGAAAAAAGGAGTACGGGAAAACGCGAGGGACTAAGTCTATGGTTTTATCTTGGAGTCTAAGCATAGTTGGTTGAGAAGATGGCACACATTTTGAAGACATTTCACGGGGCGAATTACACCAAAACCATTCTAGTCTTTAAAAAAATCGAGCTCTTTTATTTCTCCTTTCACAACATTACAACGTGGCACAAAACAACTTTCTTTATACGCATTTCGTTCATGTGCGAGGGGACTGGTAACAAATTCAAAAACCTACAAAAAAGCTTTACTGTAAGTTCGTCATAAAAACCCGTCTGAGATCTCGCGATGAAATGTTCTATTTCTCTGATTTCAACCGAAAACTGATGACTTCCATCCAAACAAACGGTTAACACTCTTTCCCGTTTATTCTTCATAAGTCTTCATATTTGTAAAGGCTGAAACATAAGACTTCCCCACTATCACAAATTCGGCACCAACTGTAAGGCATTGGAAAGGTGCTATGATTCGACTTTTTTTCTGCTACAGCAAATAATAATGAAAAAAAAGAGACCAAATAAGACCCAGCTTTATATTATCATATTCATAGAGTTTTCATTAATGGACTTTCTACCGAATGCTATCGCTTGAGTTTGAAATTTTCTTTGATCTGTAATAGGCACGGAAACAATTCCGTAAACGGACATAGAACAATCAAATTGCACGGAGCAATTTGATTGTTCCTCGAATCATTTTTTTGGCTTTCAGGGGGCAGATTCATTTCGCTTTGTTGTCCTTAAGGCTTTGTTACTTACTTTGCGGGCCTTATCGACTAGGAGCGACTAATTTCCTCTGGCGTTTAAGTCCAAATGAAGAAACTCTACGACAAAATTCCTACCACGGAATTAACCCCCTCCCCCCTTAAAAGTTAAACCCTTGTGATAACCAACTAAACTCTACGGAAAGCGCGAAATCACATCAGTTTCATTCCAGACTTGAAGGCTGAGCATCTTACGGAGTGGTCACCTTGCCTTGAAATCGAGTTTTTTCTGGAGCAGGTTTGTTACACTGCGGGCAGTTTCTGTAAGCATCTTCGATGACTTTCCTGCAAATCAGCAAAAGACGAAAACTGGTTCAACGGGTTTCTAAAAATGTGGTATACGGGTTTGCCTAACACGCACGTTACAAAGAAACGGTTGTCCCAAATAGCAACGAAACTATCAGCAAAATTAATCTTCACTTGATTCCTGACAAAATTTAGCATTCTCAAAAGTGATAGACTTGTAATTTCTTTTCACAATATGTATGCATAATTTTAGCAAACAGGTGATAAGAAAAGAGAAACTTTCCGCCGGAGTCTTCTTGATTAAACAATTAATTCTCCTTTCTAATTTACCCGCAAATGAGTGAATTCTAGAAGAGAGAATTACTAATTTGATCTTAGTGGTTTAACCCTTTACCCCCAACATCAGTGTCTATATTCTCCATACTATTCATTATACATTTCCCAAGGTGCTGACAAAGAGAATTTGTTTAATAATCAAGAGCTGCTTCGGTTGATGATCATTTCCTTTATTCCCATGACCTTAATGTTTGATTCAAGGGTGATGTTGTAAGGAGAAATTAAATTCTAGTCACTCTTACGAGTTAAAGGGTAAACTCACCATTCAAGACGGATATCCGAAGGATTTAAGGGAACTACTGGGAATAACTGGAGTTCCCCCTCAAGACTTCCGCAACGGTTATAAACAAATATTCCAGTCTTGTTCAAACCAAATTCTGTAGACAGGAGACCCGGGGTAGGCTCCTCGAACATGCCATCAGTTTGATTCCAGGACTGAGAGAAAACATTCTGGCCAACCACTGTCATGAAAACAATGTCACCCATCTCGCTGTAGATGCGAAAAATGTGTGTAAGAATATAAAGAGCGGCTACTAATCCACTCGAGCCACAAGCCTGACCTTGATGCTTCGTGGGGAGAGCTATTTCTTCTTTTATTTTGATTAGGATAACCTGTTTTTATTGAGACAAGTGGGCTGAATTTTTTGGTAGGGAGCCCTACAGTGGTACCTTACTGGAATTAAGTAATTGTCCTACTAACCGATTAACCTTTATCTTCCTCTGCGAAAGAAATCGCTCGGTAAACATTTATCCTTTAGAAAAGCCAACCTTAGAAACGTCAGCTCTCTTCCGTGGCGAATTTACATTATCAACTCAGTTGATTAAACCAATTGAAATTATCCATTTCGAAATAGTTGCTCGAGTATTATAGTAACCCCACGCAGAGTGATTGAGCGAGAGGTGACGTAATCTTCGTCCGACGAGAGCGCCCCTATCTCTGTTGACAGCTGAACGAAAGAAATAACCGATGACTTTCGGTTGCACTCTTCACTAACGACTTACCTCCCCTTAGCGACCTCACGCATCTCGTCCATTTTCGCAATGGCCTTGACGCGACAGTCAGCCTGTCATCAGACTCTCTGCCGTCAAGCGGAGTTTATCACCCCTAGGACCACCACGGATCCCTGTGCCCGAGCGTCGAGCACTGGACCCATGGATGGCCGCTGTCATCGTCACCGTCAAAGAGAATCCGACAGCGACACACAAGCAAGCAGAGTGACGAAGAGGAATGCCAACATTCCCTTCGCCATGTTTCGATTTCTGCAATGTTTAAAGAAGGCAATGATTAACAATGATACATAACAGAATGTCAAAACAAATGCCTACTTCGGTAACATTTCAGGACTAATATTTATTCTAGATAATGTTGATTTAGAGATAAAAATTCCTTCAAGCTGCCATCAGAAGCTGGAAAGATCTTTTAGACTCTATTTTCTGATGATCAGAGATGTTTCTTGACTTAGTCTGAAGTTCTCCTTTCAAAAAGTACGTTTTGGTACGATGAGCTAATTGATTGAAAAATTGAGTCCTCTTCCCTCCCCCCCCCTCTCTCTTTTTTAACTGTTGTTCCCATAATGCCACGCAAATATATTCCAACGAATGCTCTCAATGCTGAGAAGCATGCGTGACCACAGGATTGTGATATTGGTGTGACTTATTTCAACTGTCTTAGATTTAACTCCAGTTATTCAACAGTTAATAGTATAATCGTAACATATGACCGGAAGCAAGACTAAATATTTTAACAACGAAGCCTCTTTAAAACTTTCCAAGGCTAAAAATTGCCTGATCGCGCGTGGTAGATGAGAAACTTTCATCAGAAAAGTTGTTCTCTTCCTTCCACCCAGGTGCCCGCAAGTAGTAGAGTCGTCACTCAGTGCGAAAAAGGTCGTGTGACGAGCTCAAACGACAGAAACAAAGGGGAATGGCTCACCAACCACTGTATGATTGTTTTTTTGCGTGCGCCTTGCGAAGAGTTTCAAGCGTGATTTCATTTTGCGTGCTAAAATTTCAAACTATTTTCGAAAGCAAGACGCGAGTGAAATTACACATCAAACAGAGCAGAATAGGTTTAAATTACATCACGCGCCTTGGAATCGAGTTTCAATATCTAATTTGAGAAAGATCCATCTATTTTCCTTTAAACAGCAAAACCTCTCTAATGAGTGGTTACTCCCGGAAAAATAAGCCAGACGACTGTTTTACATGGATTGTCCATTTCATGGAGGTTGACTTGCTTTTAATCATTATTTCGTTTGGAAAGTTCTTTGCGTTCTTGACCTGTAAAATGTATAGGTAATCACGTAACATAATATATCAACGGAAAAAGTTGATATATTCCTCTTCTGCATCGAAATTTGAGGACCATAGACTCTCGATGTATTCTTCAAAATCATAAGAACTATTACATAAAGCTGAGTAATTTGTGAAAAAAGTTTTCTTTCCTAGCCCTGTTGCGAAACGAAAATTTAAGAGGTACAGCGAATACTAAAAGCTCGAACTATTGTCGCGCGTTCCAATCTGTTTGAATTTAATTGTACACACGATTTCGCAAACTTGACTGAAATAGTTCCGTTTAGCTTACTTAATTAAGAAGGAGTTGGTTAAGAAGAAGAAGAAGAAGAAAAAGAAGAAGGTTGTTTGTTGCCCAACGTCGCCTCGATGACCCGCGACGGCTCAATCACATATCTGAGAGACTGAACGCTCTGCGTTAAGAGAAGACGGGTGTTGCATTCTTCTATCCTAGACAGGCTTTATAATTTTGCGCGAAGGTGTTACAGGAAATGGCTGCAAACAGAGATTTCATTTTCTACAAAGGAAAGGCATTTTTGGAACTCCTTATCCTTGGGAGAGTCAGGTTTTTAAAAACCCCTGTCCTAAAAATTTATCGGGTACAACCCTTCCAGTTTGATGGCAAGAAAAGCTAGAGCTGGTTAAGCGTAGTAAGCTAGCGTTTTAAGCTAGATTTTGGTCGAAAAAGGGGCAATCGACATAGAATAATATGCGAATTCTGTACTTACGGCTTACAGCGTGACTGCTTTGTCCTGGTCGATTTGCCGACTAATGCTGACAATCCGGTTTCACCGGTGATAAATCTGCCCTCGCAGCAAGTGTCCAATTGTTGACAAGGAGTCATGTTATTTCTGCATGATCCAATTACAGAGTACTCTCAACCTGCGCGTGACAAGCCAGTGGAAAAAAATCGCCCGCGGTGAGTCCAAAGAACGAGTTATAAACATAGGGTCATAACGTGACTTTCCCCAGACGCGCTCCAGACGAGGCTTAATGTAGAGATCTCATGTACACGCGCGCAGATAAATACATATGAAGGTGAATGAATGGAAATGTGGGTATATGAAGGAGAGTGAATATATACTTCATATAACTTTGTAAATCACATTTTGGAACTCTTGGTGGGTATATACATAAGATCTTTCCCCCACGAGAAATGACCCCACGAAAAATACTAAGCTAAAAATTAACTTTATTCTTTCAACGGAGATCAGGCAAAGGATGGGACTCTAAGCCACTGGGGAAAAGAGTGAGCCGAGAGAAACGGGGAAAAATTTGTAAAGAGCGCTCTGAGTAATGACTGAGGACGGATCTTTCAAGATTTTTATGATTAGTAAACTGATTTAACAAGGGGAGTCGTTAATTCTTTCTTTTATTAATCTAAACAGAGAAGCCTTGGCTTAGGCGCCTGGTATAAGCAACCGGCGGCTCTATATATCCGCTCTCGATGATTTAACCCCCAACTTCTCTCCACAGTATCACACCTGAATCAAACAGTTCATGAGAATACAGGGAATGATCAGTCAGTTAAGAAGCTCTTGATTGTCTAACATATTCTCTTTGTCAGTAACATTGGAATGTACAGAGAACAGTGTGGAGAAAATGCATTATGATCAAGGGGTGCAGTGAAGCTGAGTAGATGCTTAGTGTTGTCACAGCCTGCTTACAGCACTGGTGTTTCCTTGGCGTCTCAGTGTCCGTTTTAGACTTTCCCTAAATTTCTTGTATGATAAAAAGTAAATGACGGGATTATAACAAGGCGCTGTTTTGGCAAATAAGGCGGGTAGAGTGGCTACCAGTGGTGTGATGTCCTCAGGTTGGTTTATAATAGCATACAGAGAAACTACGGCGTAAGGCGTCCATGCGAACAAGAAGCAAGTCGACATCATAAATGCCATGCGCCCGATTTTACCCTCGGCTTGGATAACTTCCATTGTAGGTGCAGCGTTCTCTCCCCACAATCCATGCGCATTTAAAGTCATTTTCTTCATGTTGTTGTAAACGGAATAGTATGCTATAACCATGGTAACAACTGGTCCAAAAAAGAAGAATAAGAAAATACAAGCCACAAAAGTGATATCAAGTGGATCGGACGATTGCCAGCGAATTGAGCAACACACACCTGCGCCTTCAGGAACGTACGCTGACCAACCGAACAGAGGGAACGAACTCCAAAGAAGGGCAAACAGCCAAAGTCCAGCAATGATGAGACCAAGCTTCCTCTCAATACAAAACAAGGCTTCAGAGAAGTTTATTGTGATTGCACGCTCGATAGAAAATGTAGCGTAGTGGAGCATTATACCGAACGAAAGGAAAGATGTAATAAAGGCGTACCACGTGCAGGCTCCACCGCTCAAGCGCCAACTTTGTGACGCATTTTTAACAACTCCAAGGGGATATGCTAATACTGCGTGTAGCCAATCACCGACGGCTATACTAAGAATCAAGCTGTTCGAGCGCGTGCGCAGTGTGCGGTCTTTGACAAATGCCCAAATGACAAGCGTGTTTAGACTGAATGCTGTCACAGTTAAAACGACATAAACTGCTGCAATCACGTAATGAATGGGCATAGTGAAGGCTGCCTCGGGATCCATCTCTTTGCTCTTGTTTTTGAGGTCAGACATTCTTGTTCAGTAGAGTTTTAATCTCCTTGAAAATCAAGAAAAAAATTATAAACAAAACTATAGAGATAATGATAACTGAAACCAATCCCAACCTAGTTCCTAGCCTACGTGTAGCCATACCCTCCCCCCAGGTGAAACGGAGGGGGGGAGGGTACGGCTACACGTAGGCTACCTGGTTCCTATCGTTTTTTCGCGCTTCAAGCAGACTGCCTGTTTTAACTTTGAGTTGTCATTGGCCAACATGATGTTAATCTTTGTTCTGATTAGTAATTTTGATTACAATGTTTTTGGTTTTTCCATATTCTGTTGAAAACTGCTTTAAAGGAGACATGATTTTGCTCAGTAATATTACAGGTAATTTAGAACGTTTCCTTGCATGCAGTATCAGCAATATATTGTTTACATTAGAGGTTCTCATGAAGAACTGCAGCAAAGGTGCTGTAGCTACGTAGAGACCTGTACAGTGTACTGTAGCTTCATATGGACATTAAAGCACAAATGTTATTTACATTAATCGTTCCGATCCCAAAATACTGGGTAGCGCCATGTCACACCACAAAAAACAAAACAAAACAACCGCTACTGACCATCCCTCGATATAACGAACATTTTGGTTGTTTTTCAGCAAATCCGTTAACAGGAGGTTTTCGATGCAACGAACCCTCGATATAACGAACTAATTTCCCCAATCCCTTAGCATTTCATTAAATCAAGTTTCCTCTGCATCGATTTTTTTTTATTTGCCACAGGGCTTGGAAACTATTGCTTCAGGTTTCTTCGTGTCCTGGCCTTCTTTAGTATGGAACACCTTGAAATATTATTCCCCCTCCTCTTTCTAATTTCGAAAAATTTTCGTGTTACTTTACTCAGTAGCACCCGTCTATACTCCTAGTGGACAGGTGCACCGGGAGAACAAAGTACCTTACCCAGGAACACAAGATCACAACAGCGTTTACCTCGACCTTTTTACTCAGGAGATCTTTTGAAGGTTTGTCTCGTTTTGAAGATCACATGTTTCTGTGAGTAATACTTGACTGATGTAAAAAATCACTCTTCACTGTGGTCGTAAAAAACAGGTTCACAAATTGAATTGTCTCACGTGCTTGGTGCGCCGCTTATCTATAAGCTGTACGTGATGTGGCAGAAATTGTTCAAAATGTGAAAACAACTTTCTGGCATTGTTCTCTCAGTCGGTGGCGATAGAAATCTCAGAGCAGCATAAATCACGGTAGCAATGAGTGACGTTTATTATTATCAGTTGTTCTTTCTCTGTAGGGGCTAAGACCGATTTTACCTTCCTTTCACCTTTTTCCTACGTATGATGCACGAAGTACCTTCTGTTTCTGTTTTGTGACAAAAGGTATTCCCTGCGGTTACGGAAGCCCTGAAGAGTCCTCAAATGATTGAATGAGTTCTTTTGATCTGACCAGTTAAATGAGTTATAGCGTATAGTAGTGATTCTCCTCAGGCTATACTATATGAAATACTTAGGCTGTTATATCTCTCCGTAATGACTTTTTGCCGTTAATTATTTCCGTTCGCGACGTCTAAGGGATTTTATCAAAAAGCGATCTCTCTTAGCGTGAAAAAAGCTTTTGTCTTTTTGATTTTCTCTTTGTCATAAGTTTGAACTTCAGGTGAACTGTCGTCAATCATTATAGACATTGTAAGGCTTTAAACATGCATGTCTCCTGACTGACGGGGCGTCTAAAAAACGGGGTTGTAAAAATAAGTAAATTATTGGGATTTGAATCTGTTCAACACATGACATCTATCATATTATCTTATTTATATTATTTTCCAAAGGCGGTGTCTCGGCAACGCACGTTTTTTCTTTTCCGGATTTTTTTTTATTCTGAGAGATGAAATGATGAAACACTTTTTTGAAGAGGATGGCACTGAATAGTTGAAATAACGAATAAACTTGTGGCCCTCGATAAGATACTCCTCATTCATTTATTGATAAGTCGTCTGCTGTAAGAGACATAAATAACGGAAGAGAAAAGGTGTGAAGAAAATTTGCGGCTTAGCATGGGAGCTTTGAATAGATATCAATGATTGATCAGGCTACACAGCATTCCTGCTAGGTTAAGCAATTTGCCAGTGACAGCATTTTTCAAACGAATAACCAGAATCTAACCTGTGATTAACCTTCAACCTTTAAATTCCAAAGAGTACTTAGTCATTGAAATTCAAAAGATTTTCATTATGGAAAAAATTAAAAAAGAAACCATGAAAGATGTTTACAAATGTCTCTCTCTTTCTTCCTTTCTTATTTACGAATTCTCCGAGGCGAACTGGTTTTGTCATAGCATTCTATTAGTGTAGTGAAATGCAGGCACTTTGAGAAAGCGAGTTTACCTTAAAATCTATATACCAGAACTGTGAAGAAAAATTTTCGATTTACCAAAAAGAAAATGAAACAAATAAATACCAGTCGTGGTTTATACTCATCTTGCGGTTGCGCTAGCCTTAACGCTATTTACGACTACTACATAAAATGGCTGGACGATAACATTGTCATTGATGATTTACCTTCATATATTAACTGCCACCATGAACCTATTTCACCCATGTAACAGATGGCGTCGGATTTCAGTTTGTCCAAAGTTGAGCGTTCATCAATATCCCAGCACGCGTGGGCAGTAAATAACCGACTTGATTCCATAATCCAGTTTGATCCGCACACTCTAAAGAAGACTCAACGACTTCCTCACCTTAGCTTTTAAATCACCCTTTTCATTTACTTTGTTTGATTGCTGGCATCCTTAATCAAAATTTTTATCCATCAAAACGTTGAATGGAGCCAAAAAGGCGCAAAATGTAATGATTAGAAATGACTTTTCATTTACCGTAAGTATTATGGTTTTGATCGTTAAAATGTCATAAACGAAAGTGGCATGACTTTTAACCAATCGTAATGAACAAATTTGCATCTGAACGGAAAGGAAGATAGTACAGATGCGCCCAAACAGTCTGCGAGAGATAAAGATGCTTTGCTTCTATAAAAAAAGGGAATGGTGTCGTTTACATAAAGCTAAGATATTTTAAAGAGATACTATGCAAGACTCTTTCTTCTAGCGATAATCGGCTGTCTGAAGATTTGCTTTAAAAAACTTTCTCCAAAAAGTTTTATTTTTGTTACATAATGCCCAAAAGCATCGACTTCTACATAATTCAGGTTTGTTTTCAGCTATTTTTAATTTCTTTTCAGTTCATACAAAAATCTCGCCCAATGATATTACACTGACCCCTTTCGCTACTATGATCAGAACATCAATTCTCTGCAGTGCACTCCATGCATTGCTTATCATTTGCTTTGACGATTTGGTGCAAAATCAAGCAACATCCCCAACGTTGTCTTTTCCTTTCTTCTCATCAAATTTTTACTCGAAAATGTATTAATGTTGTAATTGGAGAAATTTCTTTTTGGTCACACCTGTGAATGAAACAGGTTATTCTTTCAATTTATTTTTCCGAATGAACTGACTTTTAAGAAACTCGCAAATCTGCCTCGAAAATTCTTTTTTCGCCTTTATTAGTGAGGTTGTAGAAATTAGAACTCACTTATGACAGCTAAACTTCGGGTTGAGCTATTACCACGTGTTATTAGAGTTGCTAAACAGCATTCAGGACAATGAACAAAAACCGACAAAGAAACACTAACCATTGGTGCACGTCATAAACTGTTTGGCCACATGCAAAAACGACTCTCCAGAAAAATATCCCAAAAAGTTTCATAAGAGTAATCATTACTCGTTGCGAATGGTTATGATAAAAATAGACAATTAAAAATGAAATCCAACTTACATCCTCAGCTACGAAAAAGATAACTTTTAGAAGCTCAAGGAAAAAATCGATCAGTCGCCGCCAACCTTGTTGGCAGAAAACGTCGAATGTTGCTGTATTATTCAATACTATTTGAAATTTTTTTCACAAAGGTTGTAACTGTAAAAAATCAGACTTAATTCTAAATTTTTAAATTAGCATAAATTAACTAACGCAGGACTTTTCCTGCGATTTGAGAAAGACGCAAACACTTTGTTTTGTACAAGCTACAAACGATATCAATCCTGTTTTATCTAATTGTCTGCAGAAATTTTCAACTCATTCCCTGGCCGCTTTCTCACAAAATTCTACAGATGACTCAGCTAAATAGCCCAAAAATTTGAGACATCTGCTCGTCGGTTATACATTAATTACAAGTAGCAAACATTCCTACCATTTATAGCTGCTCAATGTGAACTTTTTATACTGAGGGCAAAATGTTTCAAATTCGGTTTTGTCAAGAGCAAAATTTCCAGAAGATGTCCTCTATTCTGCAAGACCTGACGAAACTGACATTTTCCCAACACCACGCAATCGTGCGACTGAGCTTGTTTTAGGGTGTTTGTGTGGTAATCTTTGTGTGTATTGTTTATTTTTTTGTGTGAGAGCTGCTCAAATTTCAATGAGCTCTTGGCAGGATTGGCATCGATGTGGAGGTTATTTCCTCTGGTGCTATTCAGCATAACAATAGCAACGAAAGTAAATAAATATTTCGTAGCTACGAGTCAGATATTAGCTGATAACTAACGAAAGCTCATTCCAATTTAAGAGAATTTTTCTGTTTACTTGTTGCTTGTAGTATGTACCCAAGGTAACAAAGTTTTGTCTTCATTGCGTGGAGCCATACGGTAAAGCATGAATATTTCTTACTGTTTGTTATATCATGCTTTCTTTTCATTTTATAAATAATCTGCAGGATTCTCTTTTAAATCCTCTATTTATAAGTATTTTTCCAAAGGTTTTATTTGTTGTGACTTGTACACCTCGTGGGAGTCGAAGTAATCTGACGAGTTCTTAAGAATCGCCGCTACTGCATCCGTAAAAAAAGCCATTTCTCCTCAGTGTGGCGGCTGTTCTTAAAGACAAAATATTCGAATATTCAACATATTCTGACTAATTGATCTCGAATCCCTGTTAATCACAAGGCATAAGAGCAAGCTGGTCACTGGAAAATGTCCTCGGATTAACTTTTAGTCTATGATAAACTTGGGAAGATTTACAAGCTTAAGAGAAATGTGGTTTTCATGTCCTCGAGTCTTAGTAAGCTAACATGATTTTGAACCACAACGTTAACTACTAAAGTTGGAGGGAGTTGGTACAAGTCACTCAAGACTGACAACGTTTCATGGTATCTGCCAGTGAAGATTTCTTTCTTTTAATTAATATTATCATTGAGCTTAAAACCCTACATACATGGTTAGAATCTATGTCTTTTGGCCGCATAACTTATTTCAGACATCGTCTCATCCCAAATTAACTGTGTATCATGATTCTTCGAATTTTGCTTCATTTTTGTATGATTTTTACGAAGTCTTCTCCTCTGAAACTTATTGTTTAATGTTAGAAACTTGGTCAACTTTGAGCTTGGGTTACGAATCTAAATATCAATTTTATATGTTTATTAAGTTTATCTTTATTGTATAACCGTGATAGCAAAAACCGGAAAAATGAATTTACTTCTAAACAAAGGCTAATTCGTTTTCAATTATCTGGTTGTGTCGCATAAATGAAGCAATCAGCGAAGGCCGGCTGAAAAAAACCACAGAGTTAGCCACAACAAAGCAATGCTTTTTGAAACAAACATCTCTGGTCACGGAAAAAGGCTATTAGCTATATGCAATTAATTTATTATTTACATCTCTTATATGCGAGTCTTATATGTTTTAACGCGGTGGCAAACAAAAAGTTTGACTTCTTGTTCGGTCAATAATATTTAAGTTTTTGGAATTTCGGACATTTTCCAGTTTATTTTTTTAAGTTAAAAGTCGCAAGTATAATTTGTCAAAAAAAATAATGGCTTTCAAATTATGACAAATGATGCTGAAAATTGTCATGATTTTCTTTCAAACACATCGGCGAAGTGCTCAACTCGATAATGAGCATAAATTTCAATTTTTGGAACAAAGTGTTCCTGCCACTGAGGGTCGATAAAAAACTATTTTCAGAGAGATAGTTGATGAGGGAAAAAAAGTCGATAAATCGACCGAGAAAAACCTATTGACTTAATGCTATATCGTGCAAGTGAAAAATGGAAAGGAAAAAAGTTACAAAAGATATCAAACTTGTTTTTTTCCTCGACCAGACGACACCAAATTGCTCTCTGCCAGATAACATTCGACCGAAATTGTGAAGCAAACCTTTGCCTAATCCTCAAGGGCCTCAATTTTAAAATTGTTGCATTGCAATAAAAACCTTTCTTTTAGAAGATTCTTAGACATCGTAATCTTCACATTTTGTTGGTAATGTTTTGCAAATTCGGTAATTGTAGACAGATGTGATTTGCCTAGTGCTGAACACGTACAGAATAGACTCGGTGCAGTTCAATGCAAGTAGTTATTCCCAAAATACCTCCAGACAAGCGTTTCTTCAAAGGCGACGCGACCTAAGTGCCCTTCTTCATTTTAGCCTACCTTTTGTCCAGAGTTTGACTTCCCTGTGAACACTGAAAAACTCCACGAAGGACTACGTTCCAGAGTAACTGAACTCTTTCTAGCATGTTTTTGGCTGACTAGTTGCCACTGAGGCTCTTAGAGGAGCGGGGATTTTCATGGATTGTTGCTCTTGAAAAACAGGTTGTTTTATATCCTTGTGATTTTTTTCATTGGATTAAAAGCCACAAGGCTCCACCCCCACTGATTTCACCGAGGACTTCCTGCTCTGTTGTGGTTCTATAGAAGTGTATGTCGCATAGATTGAACAAAAACGTTGTTGAGTTTAATTTAAAGAAAACAAAGATATCTTATTCGAGGCTGGATTCAGTCGGAGCTTAGTGCTTAGTGATCGGTATGGGTGCACTGACCAATCATTTCTAGAATTTGTAATCGCATACATCTTATCAAAAATTTATCCGTGAATTATGCGTGAAAAGTTAACCCACATCTATTGAAATGCACTTTCTTGTTTAGACTAAAATGAAGCATATATATCCTACTAATGTAAACCAAATTGAAAACACTTCCTCATTGAGGCAAGAAAACACATTATTTACCTAAACATATATTTCTTTTATTCAGAGCTAGATTTTAGAGCCCAGAGTAATTTGGTTTTATCAACTGAGTTGATGACGTAAATCGGCCACCGTAAAGACTTTCAAAGCTGGCGTTTCGGGCGTTTGACCTTCGTCAGAGCGAATGACCCTGTTCTACTCTCCCACCTACGCTGCACCACAGTTTCTCTAGAACCTTACCTCCTTTAAAGTCCAGAGTTCGGTTATAGCCTTAACTTAACCATTTAGTTCAAAAGATCTGATTGTTAATTCCCCTTTCAAGCAGCCACTCATCTCCTTTAAAATCAGTAACGAGAATTTGGTGTTAAATCAAGATAACAACTTCCACGTGAAAACTTTGAGTATACTCATCACCTGTTTGCGTATAATGTATAAATAATATAGGAAGGTGTTTCGTGATAATCACTTCTTGGAGTTGAGGGGGTTAATGGAGATAAAAAGATATAAAAAAACGAACCCTTTCACACGCAAAAGACATTTTAAAAGTTGTTATGACTTAAACTCTTTAATAGCACTTCCTCCAATCATCTTAAGTTACACGTGAACAAGCTTTGTGCAACTTAGTCATACAGGATACAAGAGATATCGAAAAAGTTCAAACTATTTCTGGACACTTCTCTTTCTGTTTCTTTGACGTTTGCATCAAAACAAGCAACTGTCTCTTTTCTTGCTTGTTTATCATTTTTGATCAAAGTTTCCAGATTGAAAAGCTTTTTTCACAACTGAAGATAAAAAAAGAAACTACACGTTAAAATTCCATGAGAGTATTATGATGATCTATAATAAAATATTCATCATGAAACAAAGTACTGAAACGAAAATTTTCCCCGCAGAAGTTTTGTTTGTTTTTGCTATATACTACCAACTTGGGCATAAAGATTATTTTTATATTTCTGATGTCAAGTTTTTCTAAGCACAAATAAAGCTTGTTAAACTTCCTAACATCAAACCAATACACTCTAATATCAGTATCCATATTCTCGACACCCTTCCCAGTACATTTCCTTGGACACTTACAAGGAGAATTCGTTTAACAATCAAAACTTCCTAGGTTGGTCATCCTTTCCTTTAGTCTCATGATCTTAATGAGTGATTCAGCAGTATTACTGAGAGAAGACATTATTTAATGAGCTCAGTTATGCACGCATTTTGATTGGTTCTCACTTATGATCTATTGGAGGACAGACGTATAGATGACGTCATCTTTAAAACTTTTTTAAATTCTTTATTATATAAAACAAATAGATTCCAAGTTGCCGTGCGTCTGTTCAGTCTGTTCTGTGATCTATTACAGAACAGACGCACGGCAACTTGGAATCTATATTTTTTAATCAGATGCTTATCACTTTAATGAGATGCTTATCAGATGCTTATCAACCAGTACAGTTGTCCACTCTAAGGTGTTTCTTTTCGCCGAATCAGTGTTAGATCAGTCGTTGTTACGGGTGATGAGGTAGTAGTGGCATCAGATTGAGGCTGTGACTCGACACTCTCTGAACTATAACTGGCTGAAAATTCGGATGACGTACTAGGCTTGTTTGTGGTGGCCTGGGTTGCAGTAGTGGTCGTCTTAATCGGACAGTGTCGTTTACACTTCGAACCTTTTTTGGTATATTCCTTTATCAACGAATTCCTGCCATTGAAATAATAGGCAGTTAAGGACTACATATTGCTAGTGATAACATAATTTTTAGAGAATTGAGAACAATCTATAGATTCTATAATCTAGAAAGTGGTGATGCAAAAGGTTTGTCCCAAGACAGAAAAACCTGCCGCATCTCATATATCTATAAGTACCTACTAGAGAATGATGAATCAAGATTATAGAGACTAATTGACACGACTAAAATCGAAATAAAAAATCGGGCGCTAGTGTCAAAAAAAACCTAGTGTCTCAAATCCGAAATCGACCACGAGTGGCCAAAATCCAAAATCAGACACAAAAGTGCAAAATCCAAATTCGGGCACTAGTGTCCAAAATCCGAACGTGACACTAGTGTTCAAATTCCAAGGACGGACACTAACTAAAATCTTTCAGCAACTGGTTTAAAGATGAAGTGTCATGTAGCTTACCGTACAAACGGAAATATCAGATAGCTGCGAGGCATCTTAAAATGATAAGCCAAGAGTCCGCAGCGATCGAAGATGAGGAAATCGTCCTTACTTCCTCCTAACAATCCCATGATGTCTCGGTCTGCTGGCTCCTGGTAGACTGGGAACGACACTCTCCTTTGTAGCTCTGAGATGGAACCTGAAGCTCTCTTCATGTTTAGAATCATAAAAGAAATATCCGTGAAATTCCTGTGCGGATGTAAGAAAAGAGAGTAATTTGTTTGCGTTGGAAATTGTTTCTTAGCAGTTTTAAACTAATGAATAAGAATTACCACCTTGAAAAGTATAAAGAGTTCAGTGCTTTGTTGCTGCTCGTGGTTTGGACCTGAAAGATTACATTCGATCCGGGTCAATTCCAATTCCCAAAGAAAACAAATCCCATGACCGACAACTTTTCACGAAAGCGAGGATGCTGGAAGGTTTTGTGGGGTCTGGGGACCACGTTTTCCAAAATGATTTACTGAACTTCAGCTTTGCGTTGCATTGAGGAGAATAAAACCTCCTCCACTTACTCCTCCCCTCCAAAACTTCAATATTTTTCTCTTTTGCAAGGGCTAAAGAAAATGGAGTGAAAGACGCCCTACCTCTTCTTAACGACCCCTTTGAGCATTCGTTCCATCATCTGAGCCTGCCATTTGCAAAATTGTCAGCTAGCGAGCATCAGTCCCAGGAGTACCACGTGACCTTTTGATCTTGCTTCAGCCAATGGGTTTACTTGTTTTATCGACCAGGAGTGAGGCCGCTGGCATATTTTCGCGCTCTCTGTTAGCACCAAGAACGAAAGCGACGCAACCAAAATCGACGTGGTAATCTCATGCATTGCGTTGAGAAGTTCCTCTCCTAAACTACAATTACCTGCAGAGGCGAGCACTACGCATAATAAGCACTAATGATTTATCTTATAGACAGGCTTTAGAAGTTTTTAACAAACCTACCTTGTATGACAGGAGAGAAGCGATTGGTAACTCAATGTTTCAAGAGGTAAGTAATAACAACAATCACAAGCTTTATTCGCTACCTTGGCACGTTGCGAACACGGAAAAATCGCAAGTTCCAAGTCCCTCGTTTTAAAACCAATCGTTTTAGAGACAGTTTTATTGTAAGCCATTGCCAATAGCACGTCCTTGTACAACTCATATATATTAATTGATCTGATTTCGAATAATTTTAGTTGTATCTTAATTAATTTAGTGTTTACATAATGATAAGCTTTATTATTGTTTAATTCTTATGAATTAACTTTCTTAATTTTCATTATATAATTTACAGTTATGATTAATTTACGTTTTACATTTGTAAAAATTATCGTAATTCAGCCCTCGGGCTGCAAGGGTAATTTTAATAAAACTATCTATCTAGTCTATCGAAAAAGAGAAAGAAGGGTTTGAGTATAACAGAGTCGCATCCGTTATTCAGTATTGAGTTGAAAATCCTCGTCCCCTCCGATACAGACATACTCAAAATGGTCCTCTCGGCGTTGTCTGAACGACAAGTCGGTCAACCACAGATGGCCCAAGCTCCAGCTGTGAGATGATCATCTTACGCAATAGCGGTGATGGCGGACGTATAAGAGTTTGTATGGGAATATTTACGACCGCTCTAAGGAATAAAAAAAATACGTCAAATTCTCAATAGAAATACCTCACCTTACTTCCACAGCGTATCGTTTGTTATCTGACCGCTTACTTTGAAGAAAATAACTCATTTTAGCGAGTTGTCCATTTCGAGGTTTTCTACGTACATAAGAAAAGCTCAAGGATGAACACTCCATTTCCGAACGCCCGATCCGATAAGCTTTTTTTATTTACGTTGAAAACCTCGAAATGGACAACTCATTAAAATGGGCTCTTTTCATCAAAGTAAGTAGTCAGACAACAAGCGATACACTGTGGAAGTAAGGTGAGATATTTTTATTGAGAATTTGACGTATTTTTTTATTCCTTAGAGCGGTCGAAAATATTCCCATACGAACTCTTTGACTGGTATGGCGCAAGATGATCATGTTACAGCTGGAGCTTGGGCCGCTCTCAGCCTGAAGATGTGTTTATTACAGTTCTTTTTTATACGCGCGGAAAGATCGCGCAGTTTTACCCATCGCATGAGTGTTTTAGCCCCCTTTTATCAATTGTGTCTTAGAGAAAAACACTTAAATGTGGCGGTATCCTTTACTGTGACCTCTCTGCCTTCATCTCGCGAGGGGCGCAGGCGTTACCTTCAAATTGGACACTAATTTGTGAGGGAGTTTTTTTCGAAACATCCACTAGAAAGTGGTGACTTTACCCTTACACAACTGGCATTTTCATCTTAACCCTGACGAGTATTCACAAGTTTAGGATGATAAAGATTTTAGTGTAAACAGAAGACAGTCAACGATTGCAACTAGCGGAGAGAGATCTCCGATCTTTGATACCACTTGATCGATGTTCTGTAATACTGACGACAAATATGCCTATGACTGTTCGGCAAACACACTATAGCAACGTTCTAAAGAGACAGATTGCACTTTTGCTTAATCCTCAAGGAATTTCCCTCGTCACCACATCGCCTCCTTGACCATTTTTACACCCGTCCGAGATATTAGTACCCGAAAAAAGAGCCCGAAATTGATGTGAAGAAATATCGTTCTTAATTCTGGTAAAATTTACCTGAAACTCACCAAGATTGCCGGTTCCAATAATGCTCAGATCAAAATACCTTTAATCCTCCTCAGAGTACGCTTTATGGCTCGGTTCCAAATATGAATTCTGCTGGACAGGAAACATTACACCCTCGCACCCTGACGTTCACCGCAAGCACGACAACCGTGACGCGATGTCACGGTTAGTCACGTTTTCTATCAGTAGGTAAGGAACTCTTATCCTGAGTGTGCTTTCAGGAAATGAAATGGGTATCAAGGCAAATGTCAAAGGTCAAATATGCTCTAGTCGAAGAAGAAAAAAGTGTCCACTTGTAAAAGAAGACCTCTCGAAAAAATGACGAGGTGTGTGACGACCGGAAACATTAAGTACAAACACACGCTGAGATTTAACAATATTAACTATTTCATACATTTCTTGACAACTTAAGAAAAATATTCATAATCAATTAAACAGTAATTAACTGTGTTTTCTATTACCTTAATCCATTTTTTAAATATCTTTCACCTTCACATTTGCTCCACTCACTAGTTGAACAATCGAAAATCTTAATTATCGTATCCGTTTCCCCTAACAAGTAACAGAATGTAATTCAAGCTGTCATTGATATGAAGCACAAGTATGATTAACCGGATAGTAAAGTGTGATCTCATAAGCATCTAAGGTAACAGTTCATGTTATGTATCTATATATAAACACAACAATATTGTCATGCAATTTCTGTCGCGCGACAAGCGTGACAAACAATGGCAAGAGCACTGTAACTTTTTAAAAATAATTAAGAAAGACAGCTATCAGTTTCCAAGTGATAACAAAGATAGCGTTTAAACTTTACTTTCAGTCTTGCCAATATAACCAAACAAATATATAAGTATTATATGTTCACACTGTATGGTTTAAAGCAAGTTTATGCTGTCCCAGAGCGGTATGAGTTTCAAAAAACCTTCCACATCGCACACAGGCCCAGTGGAAAAGCTCTTCACTGTGCTGATTCAGACTGACTTTGGACTGAAAGCTCTTAAAACAAACGCCACAAGTGTACAAGACATCTACAAAACGCGATGGATCCCTCAAACGGCCGGTGCGAACGCAATAGACCCGCTGTAAAAACGCTTGTCTTTTTTTAAACCACAAGGTGGAGCTAAAATGGAAACCGTACTCTAAACCAGAATACTCTGACGTCTCAGAATTTCGGCGGCTGCGACTCCGCTCTTCTAGGCTGTCAACGCTTTGCTGTCGAATCCAAAGAGTGGTGCCTGCATACAATTCCCTTTGCACACGTGGCTCTTTGTGTCCACAGTATGGGTGGTAACGCTTCCTACGTCGTCTACGTCTAGACATGCTAGATGTACGACTGCCACAATGCTTAACATTTTTCTCATTGTGCTGTGAACCGCTCCGGCCTCTCCTTTGCAAATCTTGTCGGGTTTTCCTTTCATCCTCTTCGTGATAAATTTCGACCTCTCTTGACGGAGTTCGCCGTGTTGTGATTCGCAAGTTGTCACCTTCCCACGTGAACGTACGGTTTTTTTCTGCCAGAGCTGCAGAACCATAGAGCAAGGTGGGATACTCAAAGATATTTTCCTGGTACTCAACTCTCTTAGTTTTCACATAGCGACATTTTCCAATCTTTTCCAGCTCTTTTAAGACCCACAGTCGCCGGTTGTTTAGAGTGAACCATTCCCATTTCTCGGGATAGAAAACAACCTCTATTGCAGGGACATCCTCCAACAGAATTTCTCCATTCTTTATCTGAGTGAAGGTCTCCGAGAGGGGAATTCCGTTGTCAAATTCCGATGCGAGTAAGTTCTTCGTGAAGCGTATTTCAGAAGGCTTCAAGAGGACCATGTACACGAAACTCATCTTGAAATTATTGCAATACTTGAATTCAAACGAGTTGTCAAACACATTGTACACGTGAAAAGATGGGCGCGAAGCACTCCCTGGGGAGTCTTGCAAAAATGTACTCGGCAGGGGTGGGAGAGAGGAGGACAAAAGTTTTCAGGTTTTCATCTACTGCTCTTCATATTCACAGTCATCCCTTCTATTTCTCGTAGGGGAGAAAGAAAGAAACAAAACATAGTGAAAAAAAAATTAATCAGGCGACAAAAAAACCCCATGAGAGAAAGACCAGAAAATTAAATTCGTGAAAGATAATGTGGTCACCATTGATAATAAAACAACAAAGAAAAGGAAATTTTTAAAAAATTAAGTGAGTTTGATAAAACAAAAGGGATTTTTGATGAAACTATTTTAAGGTAAGGGGCTATAACAAAGGCTGAGTACATGTACACAAATTTCACCCGTGTAGGGTAGGGGTAAGAGTTAGTACCCAATCTCTTTCAACTTTCTCGGAGTTTGAAAGCTTCAACTAACAGTGTAGCATGGCCAAAGCATTTTCGTTTCTTTTCGTTATTTTGAGCTATTCAAGCTATTTATCGATAACTATAGAGGTGGAACCAACTCCTGAAGAGTGGGTGAATCCTTGGGATATGACTAAATACGATGCAGCTGCTAAAACCATTGATCACGGGGTGAGTTTTTTTATACATTTACTTCCGCGCGAAGACCGAATCCATCTTTTTAGCGTTATCAAATAAACAATTGTATCGCGTCGTTCGCTGGCAATGCTGGTTTTCTCCAGCTCAGTGCAGACCTGTGACCTCTTAAATGAACCTGGTGAAAACGATGAATCGATTAGAGGGACGAGCTTTTAAGTTTGAGGGCCGGTTAGAGAGATCGTAGTTGTTTAATACCGGGCTAACCCACTATGAAACTGAGTGATTCCAGTTGATTATTGATACAAACTTCCACAATTTCACAATGAGGTGGAAATGTGTATAGTTAAAAGTAACAGTTGATTTAGATTTTTCTTTTCTTTTGCTTTAAGTGATGTGAGTGCAATCAATTGGGGTAATCAGTTGTATCATTTTTCATCTTTAAGGACACTTTAAGTGGCCTTCCAAAAGATGGTGATTCCAGTCCTAACCACAATCCATCCATGAGCAGGCTTCAAGCACAGCTAACACAGTGTCAGAAAGATTTGAAAAAGCTGCCCGCTCAGTGCCAGGCATGTGCTGAGGAAACTGTTGCTAATGCCTCACCGTGTGAAACGCCACACTTTAAGAGGGTAATCAGAATCATATTAGGCAATCTTGAAGATCGTGGTGATCATGATGTGACAATTACTGCTTCAAAAGATGACACTGCAACCTTAGAAAAATTCATCAAATCTGATGACGGAAACATCCAAGATGCCGCAGAAGTAGTCACTACTATCATATCTAACTTTAAAAGCAAAGGTAGCATGTATGACTTTAACAAATGGGACTCATCATCCTTCACTTATGTAACTAAAGAGGCAGTTCTTGTCCTGGCAGCACTGTTTTTTGTGCTCTGTGCTGCAGTGGTTTTTGAGAGGTATACAACTTTAACTTGGAGGAAGCAACTTTGGTGTGTTCTTTTCCTGTGCTTTGCTGTAAGTATTCCGTGGGAGTGGTACCATCTGTACAGAAAGGCATTTGCTTCTAAACAAGCACAGATGGAAAAGGAGATTCCCAAGGAGTGCCGGCCAGATCATCAGTTACGACCACTTGAGTCTCTAGTACTTTGGTTTAGGAACTCATTTACCTTTACAGATGACATTTGTATCAAATACCAGGAGACATTGCTTGTTGATCCATTCTGGGAAATCTCTCCCTCTAAAGTAAGTATATTTTCATTGAGGTAATCTTGGATCCTTTCTCTTCCAAGATCTCATGATTAATTCTCATTCCTGCCTGTCACACATGTCAAATGATGTTAGTTTGGAGAACTTAGTTTTGGATCAACTAATTATCACCTAATTGATATTGTACTATATTCTCATCTATGCTTGATATTGCATTGATATTTTAAGGAGAAATTCTGTCTTGATCACTCATGGGAGTTAAATGAATTACAGCAGCTCTCTAAAAAAACTCTTACTGCATCTCAAGCCATCTGTTTAGATTTAAACTAAAACTTGTTTATAATTCATATTTTGAATTCCAATCTTGGGGTCGGTCTTTTGTACTTGCCTCGGTTCTTGTCAAGTTTTCATAACATAAATTAATGCTGCGATTTCTGTTCTCTTTATGCACTGAAGATCATGGGATTTACTCTTTCAGAATTTTGATTTGTTTACAAAAATGTTAACAATCCTACACACTAAGCACCCTCTTAGAAATGGTGATGTCCATGCTTAACTTTGTGGTGGTTGTGTTAACTAAAAGTGACAAACTAATCATAATGTCAGATATAACTATTGAGTTTGGAATCAAGTATTGAAACAATACAGTTAATTGAGACTGTTTTAATCAAGGGGCAAATATGCAAAGCAAGTTTCAGATTGTGTTTAAATCAGTGACATCTATATGAACTCTTTCAGGCAATTTCTGCAACAGTGGCCAGTATCATTGCTCAGCCATTTGAACACATTGCAGAGGCCTTGGGCAAGAGTTTTCGAGCATTGTTCAGAGAGGTTCCATTGCAATGGCAGCCGTTTGTGTTTATTGCTGTAATCTTTTTAATTGTTGTCATCATTTTCACAATTAGTGGATTACAAATAAGGCTGCCATTTGTAACAATCGCAACTACCACTGCCCCTGCCCTGCCTGGAAATATCCATGGAAATCTGCAACAGCTTCAGGACCAACTCCAGAATGTTGTGCGTCACTTAAATGATGTGCCTGCACAACCCAGAGGTGCAATTGATAATGCTCCCTTACAAGAGGACATCCACAATCGTTTAGGGCAGGTTTATGATGTTTTGAATGCCATAAATGAAAGACAACAGAGATGGGGAGAGGACATGCAAAGAGCCCAGCCTATGATTCAACAAGCTCCTCAGCCAGCACCAGAGGGCCTTGGTCATGTGGAGGCTGGTGCTACTGTGGTTGGGGTACAGGAGGAGAGACCCGGGAGACAGCCTGTCTCAGAAACACACCCTGTTGCAACAACATGCGCTGTTACAGAGACACATCCTGTTTCAGAGACTTCCGATCCTAAAACTCCTGTTCAGAATATAGATACTGCTCATGTGAGGGATTTTGACTTCAAGGAATCTTGATATATTCTTATGTAAGGTTGATTCTTTGCATATGAATGAATGAGATCAGTAAAGTTGTTCAATCCCTGCAAGAGGCTACAGGAAAGTGCAAAAGACCAACACTCTAATTTATTCCTGGCTTGTTCTGATAAAATTGGTTAGGGTGCCTTAGCATAGGAGTATAACTGGAGAAATTTGACAAGTAAATAATCTAGAAGAAGTACTGTTAGAAGTACACTTACATAAGGTTTTAACAGCTTTAATTTTGTTGTTGAAATTCCACTATTGAATTTCTTTCAGTGTTAAATTAATTTTATGTAAGAAAATAAATAGTGATGTAGTCACCTATGAAATGTGAACAGTTCTCAACTATAATTCAATAAGTTGTATGTCTTCCTGTGATGTGATTTGTAACTCTCCCTACTGGTTGCCATACCTATTTTTGCTAGTTTGTTGAGAGCATTCAGTGTGATATCGAGGAGAAACCCTCTGGCTAATAAGTTTTCATTATTTCTTCACCTTAATACTGGGTAATGTAATGACAATGTAGGGAAAGTAACAAAGTAGTAAGTGCTGCAGTATAGTTAGTGAACTCAAGTGTTCAACACCAGGAATCTCTAGTTCAGCTCCAGGGTGTTGATCAAGAATCAAAGTGGAAAAAAAATTGCAGGTTAAATCTTGATGGACTGAGATTTTTTGTATATTGTGAAGTGAAAATTATGCCTTTGTTACTTTACCCTTTTTTTTCATTTTAGTGTTTCCTAATGAAAACCCTGCAACTCTACTGATTTTGAGATAACTAAGGTTTGAGGTTTTTTTTCAGAACTTTTCTGTTTTAAAGGAAAAAAATTTAATGTGACTGAGTTGTTACTCTCATTTGATAATCTCCTATCAGTATGCTAATGTAGTAGCTAGCTGAAGATTTTATTTACTAACCATGTATTAATAACAAATGTTCATACATTAAGAACAAGGCATTTTTCTTTCATTGAGTGTCTCTGAGTAATTATGAACAGTATCTATGAATGTAGCAAGTTTTTCTGGTTCATGATCTGGATGCATCCCATGTCCCAGATTAGCAATGTATCGTTGGGTACCAAACTTCCTCAACATGTCTTTCACTGCATGTACTATGTCCTCCTGCAATTAGATATTTGCAATAAAAAAATAAAAATATCAGTTAGACTTTTCAACCAGAAACAGCTGAGGCACTTGTAAAATTATGAGTTATGGTTCTTCCTTATAGATAGGATTTTGTTCTTTCAAACTTACCTACTTAAAAAAAAAACTAAAAGGACCTTTTGTCTACTCTTGAAAAATTGAAATTTTTTTATGACATGATTGGATCAAATTTTAAAGTGAACATCTCTATGAAGGTGAATGACTGCTATAAATTAAAGCAGATAGTGTTCACAAATAAGATATTGGGTAGAAAAAGACCTTGAAATACTGAGAAAGATGATCACTTACATGACTGCTGTACAGACAGGCTGGATCAAGATTCCCTTGAAGTGTCACTGTTGGTGCAACAATCCTGCCAAATAGAAAATCATGCCCAAAATTTTTGTTGAACACTACTGGTAAAAGTAAAAATTGTATGTAAAATCCATGACTGACTTCCTAGATCCACAAAAGCAAAGATTTATGGAGCAACAGCTCATACTTGTTGCTGATTATAACCATGATTGGCTCATCCAGAACACTCATTCATGGGACATAGTATAACCAATGTGTTGTCATAAGGGTGTTGGCTAATATCAGCTGATATAAATCTTATTTGTGGTTTAGTAAGGGGGTGTTATGATCTAACCTTGCATCTTTTGCTGACATTGTCCAGTCCAGACTGATAACATCATATCCAATTTGAGAGAGGTCTTTGATGGCATAGTGTGCACCCTTGGCAAAAATAGTCTAACAAAAAAAAAGGTAAATGTTCTAAACACCTGTGCAGTCAACAATACGTAATTATTAATTCCAAATCATAAGTTTTAAAAATGACCCCTTGTTCAGTCCTTACCATTGGAACCGCATCAGGTCCTAACTTTTCTTTGACTTTTTCAGCTATTTGCTTGAGGTACGGCAGTGAACACAGCATGAATGTATCATAGCCAATAACCTCTGCATGAGACTCAAACACTTGTAACATCTATGAAGGAAAGAAAGCAGATGCAATTATAACATAATTCTAAATGAATCATTCATTATTTTTGCTGTTTCAAAAATTGCAGACCATTGTAACCAGCTAATCTCAGATGGGGATGATACATGTTTATTGGAAACTGTTCAGAATATAGTCTGTGATACATAATTTTGTGTTCCTTTATAGAGGGCAGGGGGACCCTTTAGATAGTTGGTGGCCCATCACTGCTAGATCTTGTGCCATTTTCTAGGTATGAAGTTACTGGGAGTATTATGACTCCCACTGGATGGGACATTAGTTGATTGCAGGTTTCACCAACCCACCTACCCACCCACAGAAATTGGTCGAGTTTCTGATTTACCCTTTGGCAGTACTTGGTGATCACTTGTTGATCTGGAGTACAATATGCTGGAAGCTGGGCTACCAAGTCTCCTGCATCTTTTTGTTCATAGTTTGGGGAATAAAGAATCTTTCAATTCATAAGTACAAAGTTGACAGTGCTCATCATGAAGTATAACCATTTTCCTTATAAAGCAGTCACTTTTAATCCACATCATGAGTGACTAAATTGTGAGACAAATTACACTTTTAAAGCTATGTAAAGCACTTTTTCACCTGTGCTCCAGCACGAACTTGTAGAACCAAGTAATCTACAATCAAATCAGTCATCTGTTGTAACAGCTTGCTAGAAACTTCCAAATGTTGGTTTAAGAATTTACGAGCTTTATTAAAAGTTTTGCTACTCTCTCCTTCAATCATGTAACACATTAGAGTCCACTGTGAAACAAGGAATAAAATATATAGTAAGCAGAGGCTCATATGATAAAACTATCTTTAAGTTAGCAGTAACATCTTAAAAACTAGTGGTATCATCTTAAAATCTGTTCATTGACCCAAGATTTCATTAGTAATTCTTGTTACTGTCTGCTATACAATCTATGTGATGTTAATTTGGAGAATTTGGAATTGGATCAACCATCCATTCCCTAATTGATATTTTTCTTTATTCTCATTACTTGTCTGCTTGATATTGTACTGATAGAGTAAGGAGAAATTCTGTCTTGGTCACTGGTGGGACTGTGGAGAAGAGAACAAAAAATTGTGTTTTCTTACCGGAGCTCCTGTAAAACCAATGAGAGGAACTTTTCCTTCAAGTTTGTTCCTTGTTAGAGTTATTGCTTGGAAAACATATCCAAGAGTCTTCTTTAAATCAACTTCTTGTATAAGTTTCTGTGGAAGAAATCACCTTGTTCATTCTTTTGTCTATACCTTACCTCTATTAATAATTCTAGAATTAGGAAACTGCAGAGAAGTGTGACTTGTTTCTTGGAGATTAATTTTTCAGTCACATTCTATTCATACCTCAATGTCACTTGGTTCCCTCAGGGGCTCGGGAAATACTGGACCCTAAATTTGGGTAGGGAATGAAATAAAACAGTTATTGTTTACTTTAACTAATAACAATTTGGTAATAATTATTTCATTGAAAGACACCTAAATGCAAGTTACAGTTAAATATCAAACCTTGCCGGGTATCATTTGAACTGTCATCCCAAGAGCCTGGGAAAAAAAAGATATTGTGTTACAACTTTTAATGAACTTTGTTGGATACAAAGTACCTATAAACGCATTGGTGAACATGCAGGGTTCTCATGAAAAGATGATTGGTGGGATAATATTCTCCTCATCAGAAAAAAAATATGTCTATGGTGATTTTCAAGTGAAAAGGGGTAAATAATAAAGCCCTTAGCTAAGTGAATTTTGAAGCATTCAGTGAAGCAGACAACTGGAGAAAATAGGTTTTTAAGATTTACATGAAAATAATGGATTAACATTATCAAAATACCTGAGGGATAACAAGAATATCTGAAAAGATAATGGCTGCATCCAGAGGAAATCTTCGTATAGGCTGAGGGAAAAAAAATAAGTATATTCTTGAACTGAGTGTAAGAAAATACAACTGAGTCTTCATTAACCCTTCACACCCTAACATCAGTCTGCATATTCTCTATTCTCTTCTTTATTCATTTCCTAAGGTGCTGACAAGGAGAATTTGTTTAGTAATCAAAAGCTTCTTTTGTTGTGATCATTTCCTTTATTCTCATGACCTTAATAAGTGATCAGCAGTTATACTGTAAGGAGAAATTAGATGCTGGTCACTCTTAGGGTTTATAGGTTTAAGTGCACTGTTGGCTTCAAGCTTCAAAATCAAGAGATCATTCATTTATTACTAGAGAGGAGTAGAATGACTTTAAATTGTTTTGAAATTTAACCACAGAACAGTCTCATAATTTTGTACCTGGAGAGTTAGTTCACAAGCCAGCTCTGGAGTCTGTACCATCTTGAAAAAATCAGCATCGTTTTCTGCTTTTAATTTCAGGAATTCTGAAAGATCACAATTCCAATCAAAAAAGTAAATTGTCCTTTTCGTGATCTAACAACTTTCGAGGCGTATCACATTACTCATTTTTTTTTAATTATTGTAATAATATTTCATCAGCCAAGACAAATTATCATATAATAGCGTGGAAGGTTTAAAAAAAAACTTCTTCGTAAATCACTTAATTGATGTTCTTCAATCCTTACTTACTACTGAGAATTTTAAGTCTTTAATGAATGAAATATTTCATAAATTTTATTTAATAATCCCGATCATCTCATTATGGTGTCAAATCAATGAGGAGATGGAACGCCTGATAAAGAAATAAAGGTAGAATTGTGGCTTCCTCGTAATTGGATGGGTCTCTTAAATATACGAGATTTTCAGACGGCAATACCAATTACATAAGTCCAGTTTTTCCTTTCTTAAAAAGTGTTGTGTCACTGTCACGAAAGTTCCTCACCTGGCAGATAGCGACCCGCTTGCCGCATGACCCAAATGGGTGCTCGCTCTGTCACTTCGCCACGCGCAGCTCGTAAAATCAGATCATTTTTCAGCTCTGGGAAACCATTCTCCACTTCACAATTGGCCATCTTACAATAAATTTTCCTTCTCCAATCTCACGAGTTCCGGAAAAGTACATGGCACAGAACGGGGCGGGGAGCTGGGTTCCATTTTCCGCGCAAAGGTCCACGGGTGACTTCATAAGGGCCGCCATTTTGCCGGGGTCTACTACAGGATGTTGGGATTAATTTCTCGTCAAGCGCCTCGTCTTTTGAGACAACCAGGATCTTTGATCTTCAGGAGAAGTCTCGCTGATGGTAGCCCTGCGGTTTCTCTTACATTTGGATCGCCTTCAGAGGTGTGTTTTGTATAGAAGACACTTCTGTAACAACATGTGCACGGGTTACCACCATTCTATGATTTACAGATCTAATATTAATTTTGGATAATCTAACCGTCGTATTGAGGGACTCTTTGAGGTTGAATGTTTATATGTGCTTGGAAATTAAATTGGATATTAGTTAAAATCATACAGTTGTTGAGGCGATGTGTCAAATTAACAGCTGTTGATTACTTAATGTTATTCATCAAAATCAACACAGCTTCAAATATTAGTATTTCAGATGGAAATCTTTCGGAAGTAGTTCAAACATGTGTCCATTATGGATTTGTAGTGAGCCAGTTATGAATTACCTCTAGCCTTCTGCATTCATCACACTTCTACACCCAGTTGTTGAACAGCTCACAAATACACGTAAACTTTTGCCATATCCTCTTTCTAAATGAATGTGTGAATACTCGCCCATCACACCCTAATATTGATAGATCTGCATATTCTCCATACTATTCTCCATACATTTCATAAGGTACTGACAAAGAGAACTTGTTTAAGAGTCAAGAGCCTCTTAAGTTGGCTACCGTTTGATTTATTCTCATCACTGTAATAGTTGATTTAGTAGTGATACTGTGAGGAGAAGTTAGATTTTAGTCACTCTTAAGAGTTCAAGGGTTAAAGCATCTTCTCAGGATAATTGACTGTGAATGATTTTCTCCAAGTAAATTGAGGATACTCCACATTGTGGTCATTAACTATTTGCTAGTCAAGAACAGCATTTTTTTCATGATTACATTGCATTTAAATTGTTTTGGCTTTTGGCCAATTAATTTGTTTCTGTTTTTGTTTAGTCATTTTATTCAGAAGCTGAAGTGAAGCAAGTTGATCTTTCAACCACAGCTGGTAGTTTTGGTATTCTGGCCAACCATGTTCCCACTCTGGCAACTCTGCGACCAGGCCTTTTGACTGTGACTGATGAGGAAGGTGTTCATAAATATTTTGGTGAGTATTGAAAATAGAGTAATAGAGTTTAGTGAAAAATGGTTATTCAGTGTTTGAAACAGGCATATTCAGAAATAACAAACTTTTAGTTTTCCCAAAAGGAGTTGTAACTATGACCTTCTCATTGGTACTTGAGATACTCATGTTTTCCAGTTGTACAAACATGGCTTCCAGTCTCCTCCTAATCTGAGTCTACTCATGTTTGTCTTGATCATTTAATAATTCTTGTTAATTCAGGATTACTGACAAACTCAAAAAACAGTGAATAGTTGAAATATTTTAGAAATGTTTATTAAGTTGAGATAAGTCACCTAGATGTTATTAAACTAAAATACCACAAACTCATAACATGAACTATTTCATTTAATCTTTTGTTCATTTTGATACTTCATTCCTGTAATATCTCAGTGCTCATAGGTATCTCACTTTGCCAGCAAAACTTTTTGAAGGATTTTAATCTCCTGTTTTTTAAGATTTTTCCAACAGATGGGTTTAGAGGTTTTATTGATTAACTCAAAATCAGCCTTAGATTTTGCACTTATATAAATCATACCAAAACAATGAATAGTTGTGGTTGGGAATATGATGTCTTGTATAACTAGGGGTGTATAACTGCATGGATTGTTTAGAGTTAACTTGCTGCAAGAGATGGGGGCACTGACTTTCCTTTCAACTTCCTCTTTCCAGCAAGCAGTGGGACAGTGACCATTAATGCTGACTCTACAGTTCAAATTCTTGCTGAGGAAGCCCATCCCATAGACAGATTCGATCCACAGGTATGTCATTTAACCTTTTAAATTCAGGATCTGATTGTAAATTCTCCCCTCTAGCCATCACGCATTTCCTTGTCAATAAGTTATCAGAATTTAGTGTCAGATCAAGATCACTCATACCTGATAAGTTTGAGTATTCTCATTACCTGTTTGCTGGGCAGTGTAGTGATAATAATTATTATTGGAAGAAGTTACATGTTACTCACTTCTGGGAATAAAAGTGTTTAATACATGTAGTTAGAACCAAACTGTATTTACTCCAGCAGGGAGAATTTCTTTTTTCAGACACCCAAATGAAGGACTCTGGCAATTCTTTATTTAAAGCTTGGAATTACAGTAGCATGTGGCAGTTAGAGACAATACATATAACCCTTTCACTTCCAAGATCAACTGTCAAATTCTCAGTGCCATCTGTCTTAAATTTTGCAAGTTTTTTTGCAATGAGAGTTTGATGTGAAATCAAACAGTATTCCTTTGTTTTTCTTTCTTCTCATTACCCATCTGGTTAAAAATGTTTTGATCCTGAAAAGAGAAATCCCCCCCCCCCCTGGTCACGCTTGTGGTAGTGGAAGGGTTAAGAGATTGAAATGAAAAGTTAATTTGGTTTTGCTTCTTTAATTGAGTGGTGGCCATATTTTCATGAACTACCTTAATCAATGAAGATTGTTACTATAGCTACTTTTTGCAAGTTCAAAGTACCCAACTTAAAATAAATCATTTAAAAAAATCAATATAGTAATGAATGTAGAAAAGGCTCTCAGGGTTCTTGTCATATTTAATAACTGTCTTGTTTTCCTTATTCAGGCTGTTACCCAACAGTTAGATCAAGCTCAACAAAGCTTATCAAATGCAGCAAATGATGAAGAGAAAGCAAAAGCACAAATTGCAGTGGAGTGTCTAGATGCTTTAAATAAAGCCTTGGGACATTGATAATAACTCTTTACTTCTCCTTTTGTTTTTTTCTACTTGAATAAACTCTGAAAGGCACACAAGATTTCTACTGTGGTGGTGTTGGTGTAATGTTTGCCTCTAACCTGTAAAATCACCATTTGACAATGTACTAAGTTTTATGGCCTCTTCATAGCCCACCACTATTCAAATTGCTTGTAGAGTTATTTTGTGTTGAATAAAATGTGATTAAAGCTTACACACACTCTTTGCTACCATCAAATGAATGATAATATTAATTACCATTTTGTCTTTCTTGTCTGGGCTTGAACATTACACTTTTTTTGATTGGCACTTAAATGATTTTGGAGATGATGTTTTACGCAAAATACAACGCAGCACTTGTAATTGTAGGGTTGAAAATAGGCCTTTAATAACTACTGCTGTACTGCTTCCTTTCATTGACTCTCCATTATAGAAACCCTGGCTAGAATTTTAACACCTCATTTTCTCCATGCAGAGGCAATAGAAATCACTCAATCAATTATGTCAACATTGCATAAGATGTCATTTGGTGCAATGGACTTTCTGGGGAAAGAGAAAAATGCCTGTAGTACAACTGGGCTCATTTCAGTAGTATCCCTTTGATCAGTCAACCCTTTTACTCCCAAGATCTTGTTAGTAATTCTCCTTACTGTCTACCATACAATTCTTGTGATGCTAGTCAGAAGAATTTGGTTTCAGATGAATTAATGATCCCCTAATTGATGATTTTCTTCATTCTGATCACTTATCTGTTTGACATTTTAAGGAGAAATTCTGCCTCAGTAACTCATAACACTCTGGGAGTCAAAGGGTCAAAAAGATACCTGGTAAACTAAAATTTTAGGCCCATAGATGTGTATCTAGTTCTAAAAGCCATCACATTGTCATACCTCACTGCATTTTCCACAGCATCGGTATCATTCAACCTTCAAGGTAACTCAACTTACTTATCCACTATATTGAATATCAATATCGGTAGGATCCTGGGAACAACTAAGTCCATATTTCCCACAGGTCTTTTCGAGCGTAGTCTACCGCCATATTGCACTTGTCTGAAAAGTCTCATTGCGATGGATTTAAAGTTTGGATATCGGTTTATTCGTGTAATCTTCGTACTAATGCAAGCTCCAATATCATGAGTGTTTATGAGGAATTGACTGAAGTGTTTTGCCTAATTGCGGGCACCTAGGCAAGGATCACAAATTATGACGGTCTCCTCACATCAGCGATTAATGGTAAGCTGGTAATTTTACGTTTAATTTGGCTTTTATTTGGATAATGTATTGGTAAATCTTAGGAAAACTGCAGAATACTTCGCTGTTGCACGATCCTTCTGTTTCCTCCACTTGTTTGAGCTGTTATAAACGAGGCGTTTTAATGCAGCAGTCACAACTTTGTATTCAATGAAATGCAAATGAGCTTTTGTTAGGGTAATCTGCAGCTAAGCTATAATTTAACTGAAAGCGTTGATTTTATTTTTTGTGAAGCTAGATCATTGATTATGGAGCTATTTCATATCCTCACTGAGAAAAGCTTTTTCTAAAGAGATTTTTCTATAACCAAATACCATTCCAAAACAAAGCAATAGCTCCAAAGGGGAACTATTTTTTCCAGTCAATGGTTTCCTATATCAGTTAATTACGCATTTTGAAGTATGAGGCTTTATGGGAATCTTGCCGTTTTTACTGGCTGTTGAGTCATGTCCAAGTGTGATTTAATTTAACCCTTTCACTCCCAAATCTCTTTAGTAATTCTCCTTACTGTTTGCAATACAATTTTCATATTGTTAATTCAGAGAATTTTTATTTACATTTCTCTTCATTATCATCACTTTTCTGTTTAATGTTGTATTGGTAGTAGTGGGTGAAATTCTGTCATGGTTACTAAAGAAATTTGAAAGGGCAAAGTCTCAAGTGTTAGGATTTTTTTTTGGCTGTCCTATTAATATATACTGCAAACAACAGTACATAAGCTGCACCTTTTTCCCCAAATTTCTGTAACAGATCAGGGGTTAAACTTATCTGTGAGAACATCTGGAAATTGTGCTAGAAATTTAGTGTAAGTTAAACTATTCAATCAAAATTTTTGTCTCATCAAATGCCTGGCCACTATGTTACAAATGATGCCAATAATTAACTAAAGATTTCCTCCAAATGTTTCTTTTCTGTGAATGCCATTTTTCTGTTGATGTTTATAGTAACTGACTGAATAATTGTTTGATTGACAGACTGACCATATATCCTTGGCTCTCCTTTCATTTTTAAGAAATGTATCCAAAAAAACTTTTTATTTCCCTTCTACAAATTTGTTCTCAAACAAACAATGTACAGCTGCTAAGTTTCATATTCATTGCCAATGTTCCCTTGATAATGTACTAAAAATTTGAGAATTTGAGAAATTTTGAATTTATTTATCAATTGGTATTTCATCTTATTTTCTCCAGGTCAGATGTCTGATGAACAAGTGGACCTGAAGCTTCAAGAGCAGATTTATTTCAGGATGCTTGTTTTATTTTGCAATCCAGCTGTAAGGTGAACCAGATAAACAAACTCTTTTAATAGGCCAAGCTTTGAGTTGATGCAAGGTGGTAAATGCATGATGCTGCTAACTTAGCACAAAGCAGCATCAGTGCATGTGGGACATAAACTTAAAATTCACCTCAGACATGCAGTGTATCAATTTATTGTGGATTAAGGTGGCACTTTTAGAGTTTTTTTGGAACAGTTGACTCTTCGATTTGCAATTCCAAAAAGGACCAGACTGCCAGATACTGTAGATGACTAGAAATTTATTTGAGGGAGCAATTTGTCACAAGAAGCTGTATTGGTGGTTTGTTTAATTTTAATATTTCCAAATTGAAGACTTACCAATTCACCATTGTTCTTATCACTACTGGATGAACTTGGGAACTGGTGCTGGGCAACATGTCTAGCATAGGGAACTGGCTACAACTGAGGTACCGTCAAGTGAAAAAAAAAGTTGAGGGTCCAATCAATCTGATTTGCAAACTGAAAGTTCACTGACTGACAAACTGACTGACCAGCTAACTGACAAACAAAAAGACTTACTGACTGACTGTCCTATTGACTGATGGACTTACTGAGATAGAGACTGATTGACTGACTGGTTATATGAATGAAAAACTGACTGACTGACTGGCTAGCTGACTGACTGACTGATAGACTGGCTTACTGATAGAGTGATTGCCTGACTGACTGACTGACAAACTGAAAGACTTGCGTGCACTGACTAGCTAGCTGACTGACTGAATTACTGGCTCAATGGCAGGCTGAAAGACTGGCTAACTGACAGACTCACAGACAGACTGACACACTGAATGACAGACAAACTGATGGACTGATAGTCTCACTGACTGAGTAACAGATAGACAGACTGAAGGACTGACTTTCTGACTGACAGACTAAATGATGGACTTACTAGCATACCAAAAGATTGACTTACAGACAGACAGAGTGATGGGTGACAAGCTGACTGGCTGGCTGACTGGCTGATGATCAGTTGCTCAGCCTGTTAGGGAAACATTTAGATGGACAGTCAGTGGCTTCACTGATTGTGAGCCATGCACATAGGGTATAGATGGAACAGCATCAAATAGCAGTTTCTATACTTCAATTTGTCAACTGTTACAAAATATATTGGAGGTGCCAAGACCTTGAATCCACAATAATAAGTACTCATTCAATAATGAAATTAATAGTTTATTATTTGAGTGATGGTCTGCCTCAAAGTGACTCACTGACCTACATGTACCTTTTGTACAACATACCCCAGAACATGTTTGCTACAGTTCAGCTAAAGATCCAGAAAATTCTTCAAGGTTGTAGGAAATACAGAAACTTTACTTGGATGGAGAAAAAATTGAAATTTTAATAGAAAATGTTTGAAAAATTGAAATCATAGCACCACAATGCATCCAGTTGTCATTGTTTTTATTGAGGCCACAATTTTGTTGCCAGGTGCTATTGCTCTGGTAAATAACTGACTAACGTGTAGACTCGCCGATAGACTAACTGACCCAATTGATAAACTGGATGACTGACTGTTAGAATACTGACAGAATGACTTATTACATGTAGTTTAAGAAACTAACTAACTAAATGACTGACTCAAATAATCAGTTAATGGAATGGCTGACTTGTCAATAGACTCACTGACACATTGACAAGGTGAATAAATGACTTAAAGATTGACTGAATCAATGAATACCTGAATGAATGACTCACCTACAAACTCAATTGGTTGCTGACTGTCTTAGGGATTGATGAATAATTGACTGCCTGACTACCTGACTCATTCATTGACTGACTGACTCATATGTTGACTGACTGTTGGACTAAAGGGGTAAGGCTTACTTACTGAGGTACTTACTGGCTGACTGATTGACTAGCTGACTGACTGATTGACATACTGGCAGGCTGATTGTCTTATTGACTGAGTGGCTGACTGACTGACTGACTGACTGACAGACTAACTGACTGACTAATTGACTGGCTGACTGACTGACTGACTGAGGTACTTACTGGCTGACTGATTGACTAGCTGACTGACTGACTGATTGACATACTGGCAAGCTGATTGTCTTATTGACTAAGTGGCTGACTGACTGAGTTACTGCCTGACTGATTAATTAACTGACTGACTGGCTGACCAACTGACTGAGTTACTTAGTGGCTGACTGATTGACTAACTGACTGACTGATTGACATACTGGAAAGCAGATTGTCTTATTGACTGAGTGGCTGACTGACTGAGTTACTGCCTGACTGATTAATCAACTGACTGACTGGCTGACCAACCGACTGAGTTACTTAGTGGCTGACTGATTGATTAACTGACTGACTGACTGACAGACAAACTTACTGGCAGACTGATTTCTTATTGACTCACTGGCTGACTGACTGAGTTACTTGCTGCCATACTGATTGTTTCACTGACTGACTGAGTTACTTAGTGGCTGACTGATTGATTAACCAACTGACTGAGTTACTTAGTGGCTGGCTGATTGACCAACTGACTGAATGGTTGACTGACTAATTCATGTAATGAATGACTACTGAATGAATAAGAGAACAGAACAAAAACTTACTAATTAAATTACCTCCTCTCAGATTGACTTTCTGACTGATGACTGTCCAGGTGGCTATAACTATTTGACATCTGGTTGGAAAACTAATTCACAAACTTACTTGCAACCAGATAACTTTGGTCACACATAAGTGTGCTACAAAGCTGTTTAAAACTTGGGTAATTCTCAAGAATTTAAACTGAAGAACAAAATGAGATGCAGGTAACCAGACATGTTCATGGGTTTGTATGAGCACCTGGTTTCCTAGCAGTTCTCTAATCTCGTGTGCCTTTCTTTGTGACACACTGCATGTCTGGGTTATTTACTACAGTCAAACATCCTTGTTAAGGTAGCCAAAACAAACATCCTTATGATGTGAATCCATTCTATGTGACACACTAAGGAAAGTCCTTATGTTGTGTTATGTGGATAATTCAACCTCTTAAGAGGATCTGATGATGAGTAAGTTTTGTTAAACCTCTCCTGGTTATCCTCCTTTAAATTTGAGTAAAATCTTGACAACTTATTCTCCAAAAAGCCTCTGAAACATGTATTTAATATTGCAGCAGGAAGTCTCCAATTTATTTCAAGTTTTTCACTCCGTGAAGGTCATTAAAATAAACAATAACCCAATTCGTAGAGTTACTGTGTTTAACCAAATTATCTTATTGCTGCGTTTCAATCACCTTGTGTGACAAAACTGACTGAATTCTTTGTAACAAATGAACTGCAGTAGATTTTCATTTTCTTAAAAATATTTTAGGACTAGGGACATTAAAATTTCTGGTCAATTATCGACGGAATGACTGAAATTCATATTTTCAATAGATTGCGCGTCAGAGTGACGTTGTGTGACTAAATTATGTAACACGCGTTGTGTGACCGTAAATAGGAGACAAAACGTATCGAACAATTAGAACAAATGTGAACTATTTTGGGCAATATCTAACTTACTTTTGAAAAATTTAGGGTCCGTTTCACAGCCGATCAAGTTTCATGAGGATCTCAAAACGTTGAAAAGAAGCAAAGATTTAAAAGTTTCGACTTTTAAATAAGAAATGCGTGTAAAATGACAAGAAAAATTTGCATACTTGTTTTGATTTCAAGTTCTTTTAGTTCTTTTTCTTCAAAATTAAAACTTGACTACGATGCTGCTGCAATCTTGAATGTATATTTCCTGTTAAAGTCAAACGCACTGGGAAACTATATGGGGAACGTATTTCCGTGACAGTATTTTAAAGTCTTTGCAAAACTTTGGCTTATTATTGTGAGTTTATCTGGTTCACTTTTAAATGGTTGGATTGTAAAGTAAAGCAACACAGAAATGAATATGACAATATTTTATTGATGAAATAAAATTGTCTGTCTTGTCCATCACTTTATTTCAGGAAAAAAAAAATCAATAAATTATTCCAACTTTAGAATCCTGGTAAGTGCTATCTGATCCGTTAGTTCAAGCCGGGGACAGTTGAACACTTAGAAGAGTCGACCACTTGCTCCCAAGTAGGGAGGGGCAGGGTAAAGGAAAGTGAGAGTTTGCTTCCAATGCCTCCAGGGTCTTTCTCCTAATTTGTCACAATATCACACCTGATCAATTTGGAATTAATTATTTGAAAAAAAATTAAAATTCAAAATGGAATTTTAGGGAAGGTGCTGATTTGCAAGTCAATGTATCAAAAACTAAAGTGATATACCTCCGCGGCAATAGGAAATGATTTTAGCTCGCAATTGCGCCGTAAATTTAGTAGAATAAAACCTAATTGAATTAGAAATGTTCCCAACCTGGGCAAAAAAACCGAAGCGCTAACTTGCGGTGCCCAATTTTCAATGCATCGTCACTGAAAGCAAGGAAAGATACTGAATCGCACTAGTCTGGTTTGACTTTATCACACAAATGTCACCAAAGAGCACAAGTCGCTAAACGTCTCTCATCAGTGAAGATACCCATACCAGAATCTCTCTCTTTAATCTAGATGAAATTAATTTGGGCGATTTTTATCCTAATAACAACGGGAAGGGTTTAGTCTTACATTTACTAAATAATATTTTGCGTAAGGTTTTATTTAACTATGCACATTCGGCTTAGTTTGTTTGTTGACCATTTCAAATCACAAGACGTAGATGGAGAATTGTTCCTTTTCGATTTGCAATCATGCACGTGTATGCAAAGGACTCATTGGAGGGGAAAAACCAAAGAACAAATCTCCAGAGAACGTCCGTGATCTGAGACAGGCAATCAACAAACAAAGCTGAACGAGCCTTGAACTAAGTAATAACAAAAAAAATCTAGAATAAACCTGGGAAGTTTTTAAAAAACTAAGAAGCGCTGATTATAATAGAGAAATGGAAAAAATTACCTAACGCTCCTCTAGTTTTACTTATTTATACGATTTGCATTAGCTTTAAATCCTCCCTCGGTTAGATATTTTTAATTAAGGCGAAATTGTGTTTTTATTTTATGCTAATTATCCCTAAGGATGTTCCAGCACAAAATTATCTGTGACTGGACCATTGCGTCACGAACAGCTACGTGAAGACTATTAAGTAAGATCTATATTGTAAAGTTATGCAATGAAATAAAAGAGTAACCTAGATACGTATCCATTTATGCTACATATATTGCCTTATTTATTTTCATCTTCAAGTAAAACTAAGTTAGTCTTATTCATTAAGAAAGAAGGAAATTCCTAAAAGTAAACTTTTCCTAATGTAAATTATTTAAGTGTAAATAGCATAATAGCAATATAAAAATAAAGCATTATTATAATAATAATTTCATAGTAAGAAAATTACACTAAGAGGTAAAAAAAAATGTTTGGTTTATACTTAAGCCTAATTTTCCTGAAGTAAAATTAAAGATAATTTTTATCAAGACTAAAGCTATTATTTTCTCTTTGGTGAAAATGCTACTTTTATTAAAAGTGAATAAATTTTCCATATTCCTGAAAAGGCCTAGCTTTTATAGTTTTTAGTAGCTGTATATGAGAAAAATATGCTAATCCTAAAATAATATTATCTTTTAATGATGTGGTTTTCTAGAGGAAAAATGCTACTTAATTAAAGAAAGAATGTTTTTGAAAATTGTTTAGGTTTAAGCCTACAGTTATTATAATTTTAGTTTATATTTAATTAAGTTATCATTAAATGGAAAACTAACAAAGAGAGATTCTGGATTCAGTATCAACCCATCACAGAGACCCCCAGTAACTATCAGCTCAATTTGATGTCACCTGTGTGAGTCCAGTCAAGCCAGACCAGAGAAATCCAGCAAAAATCCGCACTCCCAATGTAAATGCACCTAAATTGACTCCTACAATTCAGTGCAACTGTTTTAATGATCCTTGGTTGTGGAACATTTCAAGATACATTGAATGCAAAAAAGCACCTTCTGAGGCCAAAATGTGTCAAATTGATGGTGTGATTCCATGACAAATTAGGCAAAACCCCAAAGACAAAAGAGCAAACTCTCACCTTCCTCTACACTGTCCTCCCTACTTGAGAGCAAGTGGTCAACTCTTCCAAGTTTCCAACTGTCCCCAGCTTGAACTTCAGGATCAGACAAAGCATCACAGGATTTCTCAGAGCCTCCACAACCCAGCAGGGATGTGATTGGCTAAATTTTTTTCTTTGTTCTTGCTTCTAGGTGTGTGTGCCACCAGCAATCTGAAATTAAAATAATATTCTACAAACTTAAGTATATATGTAAGCTCATTACCACTGTTAAATTAAAATAATGATGTTAATAGCTAAATAATGTCTCTTGGGCATGGCACTAAAACTAAACTTACCTAGCTTGTTTAGGATCAAGCTTGCAATACCAAGCTTAGAAAAACTAATGTACTTCAGAAATACATTCTGGAAAAAGGTAGAAACCTGCAAGAGACCCTAGAACATGTCAGGACTTGCAAAACCACAAGGTGGCAAGGAATTATGAAATAGGCATGACAGAATTCAATGTGTAGGGAGCCTATGGTGTTTACCTTAAACATTAAAGATATTTTCATGGAAGCCTTAAATTTCAGAATAGGGTTGGTCATACTTATGTGAAATCTTCAAGAATGAAATCAAATCAAATCAAACCTGGCAATAACTGAACTACATGAAAACAGTCCACTTAAACATCTTGGTGAGCAGCAACAAATGTAGCCTACAGGACTAGATGATGAGCTTACAGAAAGCAGACTTAACTAGTTATACCATTAGTCAAGAGCTATAAGTGGTAAGGAGCTTGCAGCTTGCTGATGCACTTATTATTAAAATACTATAACCCACATCATGCCAACCTGACAGGTAGGAACTGTTCCCCTATAAAATCAAAGAAATGGGAAGACCCTGACACCTTGAAAAAAAATGTGAAAAAGAAAATGCTAAGATGGTGGTAACTTATTTGAAAGTGCCCAAAAGTCCAAGAACCTAGACATGAAAATTTGAGACCCTGAACCTATAACCCAGAGGCCTTTTACCTGGAAAACAATACCTGCTGAAACCTTGAAGACTGAAGAGCCTTGAAAAACCCAAAAACTTAGACCCAAGAAACTTAAGATCTAGAAATTTTAAACCCAGTCAGCATGATGTTGGTAATATTATCTATCATTAATATTTAAGATATTTCTAATTTGTAATTGTTTGAAAGCTTACACTTGAGCAGTGAAGTGTGTCCTATCTTACGTTTCATACTGCTTTGAATAACATCTTGTTTGAGTGAAAATAGTATATCAAGACTTTTCAGCAATTTTGTGCTTGTTCCTCTTTTTTCTCTAACTTAAAATTCACCCAAATGCCCAAAAAGTTTTGAATTTTGGGTGGTTACCAATATCCCTTATATCAAGAGGCCAAACAAATCAAGAAATCTCAGTGATCCTCAGCCTTATAAAAGTTTCTGAATTTGAATTTTGTTCTTCTTAGAGTATTGTTATCCTTGAGAAAAAAAATGTGTCACTCCTTTGATCGAGCACAAAAACGGTTGGCTACATCTATTTTATCTTCATTTCCATTTGTAAAACTGAATTTGCTTGATAAATGATGTTCAATAATGCAAGACCTTAAATTTGAGAAACAAGCTGTGGAAAAATGTTGTAGTTTTTTGTCAATAGATGATAGTGAAAATTAATCAACTGATTGGCAGCACTATCACTAACTACATCTAGCATAAATCTTCCCAAAGGAATCTTGTGACAAAACCTTAAAGATTTCATGAAATTTGATCAAACAAGTGCTACAAACCTGATCATGCAGAAAAGTGAAAATGTCTAATGAGCTCAAATACTTCCTGCTTGTCTTTACAATCAATTTATGATAATAAAGACCCACAGTAAGGAGCAAAATCTTAAACTTAATGCCCAGAAATGGAGCTAAGATCAGAAATCCCACATCCAAAAAACCCATAACCAGAAATTTAAGCTCCTTAATAAATCTTACCTGCAAAAAGGCCCAAGGCCTTTACACCTATGACCCTTAATTTTATCAAAGAGTGTCAAAAACCTTAATATTCCTTAATATAAACCGAAAAATTTTGCGACATATTAAAAAAAACTTAGACCCCTAACTTAGAAACCCAGAGATCTAGGATACTAGAACAACAACTGAAGACTCAATAAACCTTAAAGATCCAAAAACTCTAAAACCCAAAACAACCTGGAATTCTGAAAATTGAAGACTCGGACCCAGACCCAGAACCTTAGACCCAAAAAAACCTAGGACCTCAAAACCTATGACCCAAAGAACCTAGGACCCAAAAAATTTAGAACCCAAAAAACCTGGAACCCAAATAACCTTGGACCCAAAAAACCTAGGACCCAAAAACCTATTAGTAAGAACCAGAAAACCTTTGACCCGAAAATCTAAGGCCGTGCTAAACTTATAATCCAAAAGGCTAAGATCAAAAGAACCTTGGTCCCAATAACCTATGACACAGAGAACCTAGGACCCAAAAATCTGGGACACAAAAATTTAAGACCAAAAAAACCTCTTGGACTAAAAAACTGAAGGCCCATAAAATCTTAGACCCAAAATCTTGGACCAAAAAATCTGACACCCAAGAACCTAACCCAAAAAAAAAAACCCCTAACCAAAACCCTAATTATAGAAACATGATGCCCCAAAAACCTAGGACCCAGAAGACCCAAAACCAATAAACCTTAAACCCAGCAAACATAAGGCCCTAAAAGATCCTGAAACCAAAAAGGTAAGGCAATATAATTGAGATCTGAGCACTTGTTTGAACAATTGTGACACACACACTTAACCTCCTTATTGTAATTTAGAAAAAAAAGAGCTCAATGAATGGGGGTGGTGGAACAACAGCTGGGTGAAAAACCTCCCTGCACGTCCACTTGCACCTAGGAGGAAAACCCCAGGCCAGCTGCACCCCACATTCAATGACCTCCTGGGCTGGGTCTATTAAATAATCTATATTATTTGATGTACCATTGATGAAAAAGTTGAATCAACTTGTATTCCTTTCCAGGGCCAGTTGTCAGGGTTCCTTTACCAAGTTGTCTTTGGTCCCAGAACTCTTCAGCTTAGTTGCTTGGCTTGCACTGTCCAGCCGTGATATTTTCACTTGGTAGAACTGTGATTTAATTATCAAAATGATACATCAATATTCTGACTATTCAAAGGGAATTTAGTTATATTCCTTTACTAGTCTACTTGTTGCTGGGGTACTGTATCATCTTCAAAAGATAGCACATGAGCTAAATGCCCCACCAAAATAGGGCTTATTCCTTCTTAATTCCGCAATTTTCAACTGATCCTGGATGGGACACTTATTCATTGCAGTTTGGTGGTACTTTAAGGATAGAAAGTCACAGGACTCAAACCCACACATTTTGTTCCAGATCATTCCAGCAAACAATATTGTGTAGTTTATTTTTTGCCAAAAAAATAATAATCGAGATATAACAACTTCGCTGGTGGGTAAAAAACCCTGTGTTTATTGTTTGGGATGTTGGGTGTTCTCCCAACATCCCAGCTTTAGCCTCGTGTGATTAATGGAGTATGAAACCACATCCTCTTTCCTTGTGTTTAAAGTTTCAAGTTCTGAGGCTAAATATCGCAGTGAAAGAAAAATTCTGTCTTTGAGTTTTAAAATAATATTGAAACAAAACTTTCAAAAGCTTCTTTTAAAGTTCAAGACAAACTTTTGACCACAAGAATCTAGATGAGGCATTTTTTTCTTAACATTAATTAGACACAAGGCAGAATGGTTTTTTTCTTCATCACAATGGCACATTTGGTAATCAAGGGGGCCTGATTGATCACATATACAAGATGAGCTAAGCACATACCATCAGTTAGTTCTGGATTCCTGATCAAGAAGGCCAGGTTTAGGGTCTGTTTAGGCTTATTGTGTTGTCACCTTAGGCAATTCACTTAACCCCTTTAATCCCAGAAGTGATCAACATGAAAACTCTCCCTATAATATCCATTAGCTATCTAGCAAACAGGTGATGAGAATACTTAAACTTGTCAGGTAGAAGTTATCTTGATCTCACACCAAATTCTTGCAACTAAGTTACAAGGAAGTGTGCAGCAGCTAGAGGGGAGAATTATCAATATGATCATAGGGGTTTAAGGATTAACTCTCGCTGCT